AAAGATTTTCATTGACTTCAAGGAAATCTTGTGACCAATAAAAATAGCCTTTTTCGTCATTGGAAAATGAAACACAAGATAAAAAATAAAAGAGCTAGCCACTTAACATTATGAAGCTCTATCTTTAGCTTCTGTATAAAGTGCAAACACTGCTGAAGAAAAAATTAAAGCCTAGATTTAAAAAAATAATGTCTCATCTTTTAAAGATCAAAAAAGTTAAAGATGCTTTAAATAAAATTATAATAAATTTATAATACATATAAAATATAATTAATATAAAATAGAATTATATTATTATATAATAAAACCATAAAAAATCTCATGAATCTTAGTCTAGAAGAAGTTCTTGCATTAAAAATGAATACTGATCTCAGCGATAAACAACATCAAATAATTAGAAACTCAGCTCTTGTACACAATGCACATATTTATCCCATCTTATACAATATTTTAGTGAAAAAATCGAAATGCTGTCCTGAAAATATACAATTTTCTAAGATTTTTGCCGAGTGTACTTTTCAAAAATTGCTAGATCACACTGTTCGTAGAATATCTGAAATGATTGGTATGTCGAAATATAATCAAGACAACAAAATATTTTGAGTTTTATATGAAAAGACTGGTTTTGACGGAGCATTGAGCCTTAAAGTATTTATAAACAGAAGTATGACACATGCTTCACAATTATAGAACATGAAGTTTTATAGGACCATAATTATACAATTACATAAAGAAGTTTACATGAAGTTTACATGAAATTACATGAAGAAGTTTACATGAAGTTTACATGAAATTACATGAAGAAGTTTACATGAAGTTTACATGAAATTACATAAAGAAATTACATGAAGAAGTTTTCAGTACAGCTTTAGTTCTCTTATTACTCAAATAGAAATAGCAAAATTTTGAAAAATGAAAATTTATTATTATTTAGAAAATTGCAATTTGTTAAAAAAAGTTTATGTTCATAAATATAAAAAGCAAATAAAGTTAATAAAGTTACAATTTATGTTAAAATATTATTAATATATGCTATAATGCTTGTCAATAATATAGGCTGCTTGTTTTCATATTCGACAGTTTGGGTTTCGCTCAAATCACTCCACTTCTCATGCTCTTATTAGCAAAACTGAAATGATTCGTGGTTCAATTGAAAGTGGTTCCTTTGCTTGTGGTGTATTCATAGATCTTCAAAAAGCTTTTGATACGGTTGATCACAACATTCTAATAAAAAGTTAAACTACTACGGAATACATGGTATTGCTTATCATTGGTTTTCTTCATATATTAGTGATCGCACTCAGTTTGTTTCAATTAATAAAGTTATTAAATATGGTGTTCTACAAGGTTCCTTTTATGGACTATTATTGTTTTTACTATATGTAAATGATTTATCTTGGCCATTAAAAAATTCTATAGTACATCATTATGCTGATGATACCAATCTTTTATATATCAACAAATCACTTACGACTCTTTGCAAAAATGTTAATCAAGATCTTTATTGTTTATGTAACTGGTTAAATAGTAATCGTATTTCCTTGAATGCCAATAAAACTGAATACATTATTTTTCATTCCCCTCGAAAAAATGTTGATACTATTAAAATTAAAATTAACGGAAAAAAACTTTTCCCGTCAAAATATATAAAGATTCTTGGAATATATCTTGATAAAAACCTATCTTGGTATAATCAACTGTATCATCTTGAAAAAAAACTTACACAAGCTAACAGTATGCTTTCTCTAATTCATTACTATGTTCCTATCCAAACTCTTGGAATGATTTATTTTTCTTTATTCTCTTCTCACCTTCGCTATTGTTGTATTGTTTGGGGTCAAAAAAGAAACTTTTTACTTAATAGCATTGCTAATTTACAACGTGCATCTATTCAAATAATGATGTTTTCACCAATGAGATCTGATATCCAAAAAAAATTTCTGAACTAAAAATCCTAAAACTCCATGATCTTGTAAAGTTTTACAATTGTCTTTTTGTGTTTGACTTTCTCCAAGTTAAACTACCAAACTCTTTTTTAAACTTTTTTATTAAAACAATTGAAATTTATAATGATCACACCAGGAAAACAGAAAATAGTAAGCTATACTCTTCTATTTTCAACACAATTAAATATGGTAAGTTTTCCATAAAACAACAACGTATTTCCGATTAGAACCAGTGTATTCCTGTATTAATAAAAAAGTCTAAAAAAAAATATCCCCTTGTTACAGATTGTTTACTGCTCAACAGAATACAATTTAAAAATATATTGTTAGAGTGTATTTATTTATAATTTATTTCTGTACTGCAGGCCTTGTTTTAAATAAAAAAGTGCTTAATGCATTAGCTTAACACGATTTTGACATCATAAAATTATCTTTATTTTTTTTTATAGACGTTAAGTGTTTAACTACTGAAATAAATAAATAACCGCAAACTAGTTCAATTTAACAATTAACTCAAATAACTATAAACGTTTTAAATGTAATTTTATCATGAAAAGTTTGAAATGTTTGCAATTGTTATTTTATTATTAATTTTAGTTCAATATTATTTAGTAAAAAAAAAAAAAAATTTATATATATATATATATATATATATATATATATATATATATATATATATATATATATATATATATATATATATATATATATATATATATGTATATATATATATATATATATATATTTTAATTATTTCTGAAATTTGTTTTTGAATAATTATTGTTTATAAATCGTTATTGAATAAATAATAATGATTTTTTTTATTTTTAAAAATTTCTAGAGTAAACAAAAAATATTAACATTGATAAACACAAACCCTTGTTAATTATTTAAACAACGATTTTGTTTTGACTAGCAAAGAAAAATTTAGGTTTTTAAATATTTTTTAAATTTATCTTGTTTAGCGTTTCAACTTGCGTTTTATAAAAATATAAAAAAGTTTTGTCTGCTTTGAGGATATTTTTGATACATAGTTTAGAATGCGTTCGCCAGGAATTTAATTCATAAATTTTTTATGTTATTGTAAAAATATTTTACTTTTTAAACAAATCACAAAGAAACAGAGCTATAGAGAAAAATCGTTTTTAACGATTAAATCTTTTTTTTTTTAAATTTTAGGAAATTAAAAAAAAAAATTAAATTAAATATAAAAGTCTTAATTATGCAAACTCTTTTGTTAATTATTCTTAAAACAAAAAAACAAATACTTCTACGCAAAACTTTAATCGTGCAAACTTAAAAAGATACTCAACTGAAATAATTTAAGTATATTTATTAATTTGAATCGTATCTGTTTATAATAAACGTTCGTAAAAATTTGTTTATTAAAAATTAAGTTCCTTAACTTATAAACAAACTCAAAAGTATTTTCATTCTATGTATAATTACAAAACTCTTTTTTTTTTTCGTTTGTAAGGAATTTAACTTAATAAAATAAAAAAAGAATAAATATGAGGTAATCTTTGTTAAGAACAAATTTAATTTATTTATTGAACTATATTTTTATTTTTAATTATATATCAACTTAATTAAAATATAGTAACATGTTAAAATATTTTAACATGACTTGTGTTATTTATAAACTGTTGGGCAGTTGCCCTCACGGCACCATTGTTTTTGGATAATATTTTATTTTGATGAAGATCACATAACTTACATTTGATTTTAATAACGTAAGTCTTCTCTTTTTCTGTGATCATCGCATCGGCAAAGCATCGGCAAAGTCCCAAGATTTAAAAGTTTTTAAAGTAAATTTTTTGTCTTTCAAAATACAATCTATATTCGAACTTTAAACAATTTAGAGATAATAGAAATATACAAGGTTTTTTTATACTAGTTTGTTTTGTTTTATAAAGAAAAATACATATTCATTAGTAAAAAATGGAGACTGTCATTAAACTAAAACGTGCCTTAGTATTTATTTAACGGAACCTGTGCGCATGCATAATGAAACCTCCGTTATATAAATATATTCAACATAATATTAGTGTCATCAGCGGATGTTGTAGTCTACTCATGATTTCTTTACCTTATAATATAACTTGATTTGTGAAAAAAAAAAACTTATTGAATCGCACCCAGAAGAAATTTAACAAATTTTCTTCATTCAAATATTGCGAGTAACAGGTAATTTTTTTTTCTGTGCCAACCCCCTCCCCCGCATAACTTAAAGGTAAAGGTATACCTTTACCTTTAACTAATAAGAAAATATATATCTATATACCTTTAACTAATAAGAAAAGCAAAGACATTTTTTTTAATATCTCGAAAAAATGTCTTGATATTTTTGTTATCATGATAACAAAAATATTAAGACATTTTTTGAGATATTAAAAAAATGTCAATTCTTAATTACAAATTTTTGCAAATGTTTTTTATTAAAAATTCAGGAAAAAATTCTTAAAAAATCTATATTACAAAAAACATTTATATTCTGTATTAATAAATATGGAATATAGATTTTTTAAAAGTTTTTTACTGAAAACTTTAAAAAATTACTACTTTTTATTAAAAACATTGCAAAAAATTTGCAGTTAAGGATTGACAAACAATTTTTCATGTTGCTAAATATTTGATTAAAAAGTTTAGCGTCAAATTAATTGCTATAAAAAGGAAAGATATATCGCGATGAAAAGTTACAACAATTATTTTCAAAGTAAATTCTTTTTTTTAATAAATATCTTTACATATTGTTATTTAAAAGTTAATGTGGTTTTTTTAAAAATTAATTACTTCTTTTATGTTACCGCTAATTTAAAAGTTAAAAAATGATAAAAATTAGCTTAACTAAAACAGCTCTACGCGTACGTAAAAATCGCTTAAGGCGTACATAAATCGCTCTAGGCGTAACGCTTTAAAACAAGGCCTGTACTGTAGTTGTCTTTACTATATAATTTCTTTAGCGAGCAAATGATTTTTATTTTTTTTAATTTCTTTATTTTATTCAAGAATTTTATGTTTTTTAGGTGTCACTCCATTGACTAGTTTGTAACTATATGAGTGACACCTAACCAAATTCTATTAATTTACGATGAGATTTGTAAATTTTTATTAATATGGTTGAATAAAAAAAAATTAAAAAAAAATAAAAATAATGTGCTAAATTCATATGTTATAAAAATCATGTGCTATAATATGGTGCTTTTAGGCTACAAAAAACTAAATTTAAAAGATTTTTAAAGTAATGTAAAAGTTTTTTTGATTTATTTATTGTTAATTGGTTATAATTCCTATTTGTTCAGTTTAAGTTTTTTGTTTAAGTTCAGCATATATGGACAATAATGAAAACAATGTAGTGATTTACTGTGACTGTTATAAAAACTGTAATTTATTTCTTTGTTTAGGTGATACAGATTCTGAAAAGTTTCAATCAGCAGTGGCACGATTTAGGCGCTTGTTTGGTATGCCTAATGAGGAAAAGTTAGTAAATTGTAAGAAATTATCTTTTCTGTTATAAGTTTTTTGTTTTGTTCAAATATTGTTGTTTCAACTTTTTATATTTTTTAAGTTGGTTTTTATGTCAGAGTTTTGCTTCTCTTAGGTATGTTAGCTTTACCACAGTTAAGGAACCACTTCTGCCCCATATGAAACTGCTTCTACAGAATCATCATGGGAAGGTCCTTTCAATATAAAAGTATCAACTAGGATTAAACTTTTTAGCCTAGTTAATACTTGAGGATTAAAGATTTTCTAGACTCAGCTATACTGTTATAAACATTTTAGATATGCAGTATTTATACAAGCTATTATTTTTTGTTTTTTAGTTAAGTTACTTAAATTTCTTAAATACTTAAATATCTCAGTATAGAAATACTAAGTATCTGGAAGTACCTGGAAAAGAGCTATATATGAATAAAAATATCTATTAACCATGGGTTCTGTAGATTTTGTTCTGTGAAAATAAACATTTTAGCAGGTGTAACCCAGCTTAATCTTCATTTAGAGTCAAAAAAACATGAGAATATAAAATCAGCTAGATCAGTCTAAATTTATCACAAGCTCAAATAGTTTAACTCTGAAGTTATCTACAAAAAATATAATATTCAGCACATTAGTTCTATTTAGCTATTAAGTTATCTACAAAGCGTATAATATTCAGCACCAAAGAACAAGTAGTTATGGAACTGTTCGGTGTTTAGATATTATTGATTCAAACTGAGCATTTGCTGCAGCTGATGGTGACAAATTTATAATATTGCTAAAGCATATCAACAAAAATTGGGTAAGCTGAAGTATATAAAGTGATTCAGAATAACCTCTTGTATTCAACAAATTTTTTTTAATGAGTTGAAATGTTTGCCATTTACATTCTGATTTGATGAAACAACTATATCACAGAAAAAAAAACAATTGTTTGTAGGGAGGTGTACATAAGACCTTTTTGATCATTAAAAAAAATTGCTAGGAAAAATTCAGCTGCAACCAGAGTCAATTCTTTCCATTAGTATGGATGGTCCCAATGCCATTAAATTGCTCTTAAAAAAGTTGGAAAATGATCTTAAAAAAAAGTAAAACTTTTTTTTATCAATGTTGGGTCATGTCCGCTTTTATAGTTTCCAATGCTTTTTTGGAAGGTTTGAAAACATTGATTTCTGAGGAATTAAAAGATTTAATTGAATAAAATCTTTCAATTGTAATGTACTCAATTCAGCTGCAACTAGACCGCTACTTCACCAATCTGAATTCTGATGAGTTCAGACTGGTGACTTCTGACTGACAGACTGGTGACTAAATTTATATTCAAGCACTATATATAATGTTGCATATAAGCGGTATATTATTATTGAAATATATTTTTATCAAAAAGTTGATAAATCAGTCTCGAAGAACTTAACTTTTTTTTTTGTGAATTAAAAAACATTTACTAGACAGGCTGGAAATGGACATTGGTTGACATTTTTGTAATGAAAATTTTTATTTTAATTAAACAATGTTCACTAAAGGTAAAAAATTAAAAGCGTTTGCGATATCAAGACGTAAATTTATCTTGTAAACAATTTGTGATAAAATGGTTAAAATGGTTGTACAGTATTTCAAAAAAGTCTATTACTTCCTAATGATATTCAATTTTTATTTTTAATTCTTTTGCTTAAATTTAAATTTTCAGCTCAGTACTGTTTTTAAAAAAAGTAGAATGCGTTTCAAATAACAAAATCACAAAAATCACAAAAAATTCATTATTTTATACTTCAAAAATAATAAATATGATATAAATATGAAAAAATATAAGTCAAAAAAGCGTATTAAGATTAGATCCTTTTTTAACTTTTTTTGTGTATCTGAATGAAAAATGTAAACAAACAAAAAGTGAAATTTGATTGTTATTATAATTTTTTCAAATTAATTTTTTATAAAGTTATTTTATAAGTTATTTTATAAGTTATTGATAATAAAATCATGGTGAAAAAGTTCATAGCCATGACGACAAGTCTTATGGTAAGATAAAACAAAAGTATGTTTCTTTAGTTCTTATGGTATCTTACACAAATAAGTTATATACAATATTGTCACCAAGTTTGAACAAAGAATATTTATATTTTTTTTAAACAGAAAAGCTGTGAAAAAAAATAAAAATTATATTTTCATTAATGCGATTTAAGGCTTTTGCTAACTGAAAAAATTGCTTTTTTTTTAAATGATTGATATTAAATAAAAATATTGATATTAAAAGGATATTGAATTTTTGTTTTTAATTTTTATGTGAAGAGCTAATGGTGACAATTTAGTTGCGAGTGAGAGCGACCAACATGTTTGTCCAAGATATAACATAAATTAATAGCCTTATGACTAATATGATTGAGTTATCTTTCTACAGATTTTTAATGGTTAAACATAATTCAAAGTATGATTTTGTTTACAAAACATTAAAATTTTTATTATCATTATAAAGAAAATAAATCTTGAACTAAAAGAAAGTATTGTAGAAAGGCTCAAATCAATTTTTCAAAATGAAAAATTGTGAAGTTGCTGCTTCGGAAAGTCTCATTTGATATTAGAACAAATATGTTACAAGTTTAATGAAGATATAGGACTTATGCTTTAGTTCAAACAGTTAATCAAGAGTTCAAAAGAATTGTTTTTTGATCTAGGTGACATGGTTGATTTCTTGTCACTGGATTTGAGCGGATGAAAGTAAAATTAATATGTTTGGATCAGATGGTATAAGATATACTTGGAGAAAGCCTTTTTTTTTTCACCATTTTTAATTCACCATTAATATGCTTGAGATTTTTCAAAACTGTTAAATATGCCAAAAAAAAAAGATGTTTCTGTGTTTGTGGAGTTAGTGAAATTTAATGAAATAATGAATGTTGCTGATCAACATCCTTAGGGTCGAATATTTCAAGTCCCTTCAAAAATGGGGCAGAATTGTACATATCACAATGTTTATTCAAGGTAATGACCCCAAGCATAAGCATTGAACTTTTTAACAAGAAATTGAAAAACATTGACTGGCTAGCAAAAAAAACCAACTCAAAAATTTATAAGCAATTGTTATACAATGAATCTTGAACTTTACCCAACCTAAGAATAAGGAGGAATTTTGGGCTTGTCTATATGTGGTTTGGTACTTAATTACTCTTGAGGAATGCATCAAATTGGTTGCTAAAAGAATTTAGTTTGTATTTTTACTACAATATGTTATTTGCTTTCATTGCAACAAAATTGTCACCATTAGCTCTTCACATAAAAATAAAAAATAAAATTTAATATTCTCTAAATTTAATAAAAAAGTAATATTTTCATTTAGCTAATTTAATTAATAAAACTAATTTTTTTTGTTTTTCTTCACATTTTTTAAATTAAACTTGAAAAAAGTATTTTTTTTTTTTTTCCAACATCTTCACTTCCAACAAAGCTGCTAGCAACCACTATTAAAGTTGGGAGTTATTCCAAAAAAAAACCAAAATTTTTAGAGCAAAATAACAATTAACAGACAACTTGAAAGATTGCAAATTATATGAATCAGGAAAACAAGATGAAGGAAGCAAATTCCAAAAGACTGATGTTCGAGGGAAAAACTAGATAAATAAGAATTTTTGGAGTACTTAGGAACAGTAAAAGGATGAGGCTTGAATGAATGATGAGTAACACAAGAAAGAATTTTATTAGATGGCACAAGAGATGCTAGCTCTTTAGAGCAGTGCCCATTTTTTATAGCAGTGCCCAGTATTTATAGAAAAAAGAATGAGAAGGAACATAACGATGATGTGATGATGGTTGGCTGCAAGAACAGGTCCAACTATGTTTACAAATTTCTCTCAAACATATGACAGTTTTGTCACATACTGTATATATATAAACATATACATTTTTTATTTTACATAGTGTTTCCTCCTCAGAAAGACTATTCAAAAATGAATGCAGAAATTAATAAACATAACTTTATACCAAAAGTTAAATGAAGTCATAAATGTCTTAACTACTGTAATATTTCATACGTTAGAAGAGTTTCACACATCTGCTGAATATGTCAACATTAATATAAAAAATTCTTTAGGATTGTTTATTTCTGGTTTTATATATATATATATATATATATATATATATATATATATATATATATATATATATATATATATATATATATATATATATATATATATATATATATATATATATATATATATCCAAAATTTCTTTTAAGTACAAAAAATTTAAATATTTTAATAAACAAGACAAACTTTTTATTTATATATATAATATATATATATATATATATAATATATGTATATATATATATATATATATATATATATATATATATATATATATATATATATATATATATATAGTATGTATATATATATATATATATATATATATATATATATATATTATATATATTATATATATATATATATATATATATATATATATATATATATATATATATATATATATATAGTATATATAAATATGTATATATATATAATATATATATAATATATATACTGAATCTATGGAATTTTATATATATATTTCCATAGATTCAGTTCTACCTTCTTAATTAATATTTAGTTATATATTTTTATAGATTATTCGTGTAGCTATTGGAAAGGAAAAGTACCTCGACAAGGATGGCTTTATCTCTCCATCAACCATCTATGTTTTTATTCATTTTTACTTGGAAAAGAGGCTCGTGTTGTCATACCTTGGATTGATATAATTGTGAGTTTTTTTATGAGTTTAATTGTTTTTAAATAAAAAGAGTGAGTAGCAGTTGCAATGTTGTTGATAGGGCTTGTGCATTAGGATTGTGAGATTGTCGGAATGTGGATAATCATTTTCAGATTATGACTAAGGATTGTGAGCTTATAGTTTTAGTGAAAGGCTATAAAATATTGTAAAAATAAGCTGTATATATATATATATATATATATATATATATATATATATATATATATATATATATATATATATATATATATATATATATATATATATATATATATATATATATATATATATATATATATATATATATATATATATATGTATATATGATAAGCATTAAAACATCATATACGGTATCATACTTTTTTTTTTTTTTTACATGGTATTTCTACTTAGTGACAGCCATTATCAAACGAATAAAACCGTTTTAAAAATTATAATCAATCAAACAAAATGATGTCATTGCAACGTCAGATATTCAACATTTTTTAATTTAAAAAAAAATTGTTTCCAACGGTGAGTCATTACCAAAATGCCATTATCATGATTTAAAACATTTTTTTTAGATTTTGAACATTGCACACATTCTATTTCAATGGCCTCGCAAATTTTTATTGTGTGGTTGTTTGAAATAATAGAAAGCTCCCAGTTTATTTTACCATTACAATGTTGTGAATGTTCTACTATTCCAGATGTATCCCAGTTGGCTTTTGTAACATCATTTTTATGTTCGTGAACTTGTGTGGAAATCTTTTTTTCTTGTTTCACCAATATAACATGCATCGCATGTGCAATCAAGTTGGTACACTCCTGGATGACTATTCGGAGGCAGTTTAGACTTATTATGGCAAAGTATGTTGATCAAGGGATTACCAAAACGGAAGACTGTTTTTATGCCAAATTTACAAAATTCTCTTCTAAGAACAAGGCGTAATTTTGGGACCCATGGTAAAACAACTAAATTTTTGGTATCAATTTTTTGCTTTAAATATAGAAAAAAATGTGAACATAGAAAGAGCAGAATTTTTAAGACAGAATGTCAGCAAAATATTAACCAAATATAAAGAGTAAATATTGATAGTAATATTTCTAAAAATCAATGTCTAGCTATCAATTAACTCAAAAATTCCACCTACATAAAATTATATCCGTTACCTGAGCATAAACTTGCTATCAATTCACCTATTAGTCATAAAATCAGGTTTGAATCCTGCTAATGGCTTGGCTTTGCGTGCTCATTAACTTTATTTTCCAGGCAACCAGAATCATTAGCTCTTTGCTCTTTGAATTGTGTCTTGTCTTTAACCCTAGCTTGTGCTCAGTTCTTGTTTTCTTTTATGTGTTTTATATCATTTTAGCTCTACTACTTCTACATTAAATTCACCCAATCATCACACTTCTTCCTACTACTTTTACAATCATCACATTATTTATTTTTACACTACTACTTTTGTGCTGACGCGGATTCTTTTTATGAATTTCATTGCGATGGTCCTTAGGCTAATGTCTTGATTTCTCTGCTGAAAGTTGTGCCTCCTATTTAATCTCCTTGAGGCATGAAAACTTTTATTTCTTATTGTTCGTTTTGAGACAAACTTTGCTCTGCCCCATAGTTTTCTCCTTCTTGTGCAGCTCCTATTTTTAATTACAATTTTTTTTTACCTTTTCCTAAAGAATAACTTTTTAGAGAATAACTTTTTTTTTTATCGTTGGAAAAAATTGATGCAAAATGTTATTTTTTTAATACATTCTGATCCATTATTCTTAGATTACTTGTATTTTATCACAGAAGTTAAGAAGATATCAACTTCACATTTTGTCACAGAAGTTTCAACCAATTTTTGGAAAATCTTTAACAAAGTTATTAACTTAAAATCTCCTATACATGGATCTGATCCTTTTACCTCTCTCAAGTATCAGGCAAAAACATTTGCAAAGCACTTTGAATGAATGTTGTTTATTTTTGAAACACCCTTTAAACATTAGTACACAAAGGAAAAACATTAGTACACAAAGGAAGATGAAATTCTTATTAACCATCTTTTATCTCGTTATTTAAAGTTTCTTAATATTTCCCTTTTATTAACTTCAACTTCAATAATTGAGTAATATTTGCTTATTCCTTAAAATTAATCTTACCTTGAAAGTGCCTTTAATGTTTGCAGAAATGATATTTGCTGTGTGCCAAAAATAAATGTTGTTTCAAAAACAAATGTTGTTTTGTTTTAAAATACCCTTAATATCTTATAAACATTAGTACTCACAGGAAGATGAAATTCATATTTTTTTATTTCATTATTAAAAGTTTCTTAATATTTCCGTTTTATTGACTTTAACTTCAATATTTGAGTAATATTTGCTTATTGATCAAATATTGAGGAATAAGCAAATATTACTCAAATATTTTAATTTTTATTTATTTATTTGTTTTATTTTTATTTTTATTTTGTTTTATTTTTCCTTTTAACCAGATTTTTTACTTAATTTAAAAAAAATATGCATATCAGTTTTTAATTTTCAACACATAATTCAGTTTTTTCATTGTGAAATGTAACTCAGAATTAAAATTTACACAATTTTCAGAAATAAATAGCCTTATAATAATAAAGAAAATATCATACATTCATATGGGTATCAATTATTATTGTTATTTTTTTATATTCTTATGCTCAATAATAAAAATGAAGCTATTGTAAAATGTTAGAAGTTAAAATATATTTTGTAGATTTTTATTTAATATTTATATGATATAAAGAGTTTTATTCATTGAGAAAAAAAAAATCTTTGTTATTGTTTTTATTGCAAGAAAGCAACAAGCTAACTGGGTATGGAACCAAGTATGAAATTATTTGATATGTAAGAAACCTATATTGGCACTTTGTATGCTGCTGTTTGGATGCAATGAATAAAAGTAATTGCTGAAATGCAGAAAATAGAGCTACTATATTTTCAGTTTTTAAAAAACTGCTTATTCAGTTTAAGGTGTTTTAATCACTGAAAATAAACAAGATGCAATAGATGTTTAGTGTGTGCAACACGCTGCAAACAAGTGGCAATAGAATTGTGTACTATGTAATTTATTGTTGTATAATAAATAAATTTCATTTCCAATGTATTGTAATGTAAAATATATTTCCATGTAAATTTTAAAAAATATTGAATAAAAAAATTATTTTAGGTTGTATATTTGTTATACTTTAAGGGATCAAAGCTAAAATCTTTATATTAAAATCGTCAAACATTGTTACTTTCAATTTCAATTTGACTATTAGGGTTGGCCAACTCTAGGAAGATGTGAATGGTTAATATGTTTTTACATAACAAAAAGTTTGAACATTTTTAAAAACAAAAAATTAAAATAAAATTTTTTTAAAATTGGGTTATTTTTGCTTTATCATTGCATTCAGCATCTTCAAATATAGTCAGGTAGCGATTTTTATTTTATTTTTTCATTTGTAAGTTAGTTTTACTACAAAACTTATAATGGAGTATGAGCCCAAAAATCGTTGGTCTAAATTTCATAACAGCATATTTTTCATAGATGAGTTTTTTCTGGGAATTCCTAGAATTCCGGAAATTCACTTAAAACTCTTTTAATTTTCCAGAAATTTCCAGATGTTTTTTGTTATTAATTTAAAAAGAAAATTATACATTTTTACATAAAATTTTAAATACAACAACTTTTGCATTTAAACAAATATGTTTTCTATAATTAAAATTTTTATGAGATCAATTTTCGTAAATTTTTTTTTGTGTTTTTTTAATTCATTCAAATTAACTTTTTCGAATATTAGAAATTCTTTTTGGTAAAAAGTTAAATATTCTAAATTTCTTTTAAAAAGTTTTGTTAATACGATCAATTTTTAATAAAATAATTTTCAGTGATTTTCCGTGATTTTCATAGAAAAAAATTTACGGGATTTTCATAAATTCAAATATTCATCTATGATTTTTTTTTATACTTCAAATAGCCAAAACTTTATTTTAAGATGACCTAACTTTTATATTAAGACTTTTTTTTGAATATAAAAGAGTTCAACATTTCCAAGCATTAGTGAAAGAATTTGAATAAAACAGAAATTTGTTGTTTTAGGCTGAATTCCTAATATCATTAGTTTTTGAATTGTTTTGGGAAAAAAATTTTAATAAAATCTGAAAAATGACTTTCTTCATTTTACATAAAATTATCCATTATTGTTTTAAATGCTTTAACTTTCTTATGGGTAATTCCATGTCAAATGACCCAGAATTTTTTTAAAATGCCACCCAAGTTTGCTGATTTTTATAAAGTATTTACTTATGACTTACTAACTTAGTTTGAAAGATGACAAATTTTACTTTTATCAGATGTAGGCCAGGCCCCTCTTGTCCCTTCAAAATTGCAACATTTATTTATAGGTTTCAAGTTACATAACTTTAAAATGTATAATCTTTTAACTTAAAAATTTGTACCTGGCTATTTTTAGGAATGGCGAATCCAATGAAATTGTCAGAAAGGTAAAATATTATTTTTATATACCTGTATTTATCAATTAAAATAAATTTTGAGAATTTTTAAAACACCAGATTTTAATGCTCAAGAAACCCTTGTGGCCTTGATGATATCAAAAAAAAAATTATTACATATTATTCTATATTTATTGATCAAAAAATACAAAGATTTTGATTTGCAAATATATGGATTAGCAAAAATCCGAAAATTTCAAAAAACTGGTTTCGGTTTTTTTAAATTGTAAAACCAGATAACCGGTTTTACACCGTTTTTTTATAAAAGTGAATTTTTATTATTGCTATATAAATCAAATGTTACCTAAAGGATATACTGGAGTTAGCTCTGTAAACTAAGAGAAAGTAATTTCATACCTATAATAAAAAATGTAATTTTTTTTAATTAAATATTAAACATAAATTTTTATCAATGTACAGTAACTTTTACATCTTTTTTATTCATTATTAATTTTTAATTCATTTTTTCTTTTAAGTCTCTTTTTTCTTTTCTGATACTTCTTTTTTTGTGGCAACTCAATTATCTTTTTTTTTTTTTTAATTTTTTCACAACTGAAAGCTACTTTTAACTAAAAATTATGCATGTGATCTGTTTACAAGAGTTATATATAAATATATTCTACAATTTATAATATTTAAAGTCAAAATTAAAAAACAAATTTGACATTGATTTTGACATTGATTGTTTGCATCAAGTCATGGTAAGTCACCATGTGATGGTATTGGTGGCGCTGTAAAACTATTAACTGCAAATGCGAAAAAAGTCAACAAAGGCCTGTGTGTTAAAGAGATTTTTTCAAGATAGTAATAAAAAAGTAGAACAATTCCTGGAACTAGGAGCTATCATCAATTTAACCCAGAATCTATAGATACTGTTAGCTTTAAACCAACAAGCGGAGATTTTAATATAACAGGCATGTTTTCTTATTTTGGTATTCAAAGTATTCAACCTAATCAGCAAATTAACATCAATACATTGAAATTTGGTGAATTAATTATGTTTAAGTATGATATTTTTCATTGGATTGGTATGATAAATGACAATAATGAGCAAGATGTTATGGTAATATTTATACATCCACATCCATCTTTTAACAAATTTTTCTGGCCACCTATAGCAGATGAGTGTTGGGTTCCAATTGCCAACATAATTTGTATCCTTGATGCACCTGTAACAACAACTGGGCGTATATATACTTTGACCGTTGACACATCTAAGCAAATTTTAACACAATCTTGATATTTTTTTACTTTATATTTTTGTATTTTACTTTGTAAATAATTAAGTAATATAAAACAAGTACAAATCGAAAAAAATTCTTATGACTATATTTTTAAAGTTATTTTTAAATTATTAAAAATGCAAAAAAAAATTTTTTTTTGCATTTTTAATAATGTAAAAATGACCCTCAAATCAACTTTAACATGCACGTACTTTGGCGCTTTAGAAATGCCAAAAGTTTATAAGTTCAAGCTAGTCTAGAAGATACTAAAAAATCAATTGCAATACTCACTACAAAGAAGAGGGGACCCTTTGCCCCATTATCCATACATGGATATCCATATACTTGCAGATCAAAATCTTGATATTTTTTGAAAGATCAATGAATATAGAATGTTTAATTTTTTTTGATATCATCAAGGCTGCATAATTTTCTTGAGCATTAAAAACAGGTAAATAAAAATTGTCTAAATTTATTTAAATTGATAATTACAGGTACTTAATAATAATTTTTTACACTTCTGATCACTTTATTGGATTTGTCACCTCCCAAAAACAGCCAGTTACAAATTTTTAAGTAAAAAGATTAAATATTTTTTATGTTATGTGACTTAAAACTTCCGAATAAATCTGGCCAATATCTGCTAAAAGTAAAACGATCTTATTTCACGATCTTCTTGGAGCCAGAGGCTAGAATTTTCAAGTAATTCTTATTTTACTAAGGACACATAACTGTATAAAAATCAGCAAAATCTGAGATGTTTAGTGACATAACTTGGGTCATTTGACATAGAACTACCCTTATAATAATAAAGAAAATATCTCTTCTTTGTTTGAGCAAAGATTATCAAGGTAACCTTCATATGAACACTTACCCTCAACAAATTCAAGATCAATAAAAATGTCAACAAAAACTGTTTCCAGATCCTTTAAGAACTTTTTTATTACATCACAAATCTGTTGAAATTAAAATCCTAGTAGCTTGTCCAAGATTTTTAAATGACTTTCAAATCGACTAATTTTCCCTAAAAACATCAGTTTGCTAAGTTTTGTTAAGCCAGTTTGAATACTTGATAGAATAACTTAATCATTTGTGTATATTTCTGGTTTTTAATTAAAATAATTTTTTTGTTATTAAATAGCAAAGAATTATATAAAACTAAATTAATAAAATTTTGAGCTTTTATCAAGTAATTGTGAACAGAAATGACAACAAATGTGAGAAGTAATACCTATGATATTATTTATGCATATAAAAATAAAATCTTTAACTTTGACATCTTCTTTGTTTTTGGAAAATTATGAACTAAGTCTTTAAAAATAAGTATTGAGTATTATACTTTAGTTATGCCCAACAAATCAGCAAATCATGATGAGTCTATGGTAAAAATGTGTGCACCAGATGGGAAAAAAATAATTTCAAAAAAAAAGTCTCAACATTTCGCAATCACAGAAAAGATAGCTAAACAAATTAAAATGTATATAAATTTAGATTCTGACATAGCAAACAGCAAATATTTTCTTAATATATGTGGTACCTGCAGAATAACACTGAATGAGCGAGACAAAGATATTGAAAATAGAAAATTGCCTAAAATGCTAAATTATGAAGACACATTGATAAAAGAAACTAGAACTAGAGGAAATAGGCAATGCAATTGCTGTATATGCATCACAGCAAAGTATATTGGTCATCAACATGTTATTAGAGAAAAAGGTTATAAAGGAAGATTGACTTCTAACATTACTGAAGACAGTGGTTTACTTGCTGCTGCCGGAATTAGGAAGGTTGTATTAGTATCTTGTTCAGGTAAATATTATAAGTTTCGACATAATTTATATATACATATAATAATAAACGAATACAGTGATATTTCTATTCAAAATTTATAGGTAATAAAGGTGCAAATTTAGTAACTATTTGTTCGTATTGCAAATCAGAAATTGAAAAAGACTGTCCTATTATTGCAATCAAACAAAATAAGCAAAAAAATTTTGAAAAAATTTTCAACAAAACCAGAAAAAGAAAAAGACCAGTTAATAAATTCATTACTTAAACTAAGGCAGATAATCAAAAAGATTCAAGTAAAAAAATATCTGCTTAGAAAAATTCATTCAAAAGGCAGAGACAAATTACAAATCGTTTTAAAACCTGATTTAGCCAAACTAGTCAACTTTTCAAGCGAAGGTTTGAAAAACTTTCAGATAATACTGAAGTATCTTCAAATGTGAGGGATAAATTTACTAATTTTGTTAGATCCAATATAGGTAAAAAGGCTGTTTCTGCCTATTACAGAGAGTAGGCATCACAAAAATCTAAATCTTTGAAAAGTTTATATTAGGTTAGACAAGATATGTTTGATGTAGAAGGTGAATCTAAAGAGAAAGCAAAGCGAAGAGTTTGTTGGGCAGATTATTGTTGATACCTACGGCATCAACAAAACCTAATGGTATTATTGTGTTTTATATTTACTAAACCTAATGGTATCATTGTGTTTTATAAAGGTATCATTGTGTTATATATTTACATTAAAATTTAATTTGTAATAATATAATTTTCATAAGTAAATCTGCTTAATTTAGGTAATGGCTGACGGAGGCCAGGGCTTTTTAAAAATCTGTGCAACAATTTTACCAGAAAGTTATCACCCAGAGCTAAATCTTGAATCAACCGAGAATGAAACTGAAAAGTTCAATAAGTTGGAGGAACTAAGCCTTCCTAACAAAAATAGATCCTTGAATTCTTAACAGATGTTTACAGATTTGTAATGCTTTGTATAGAACCTCAAATTAAAGAATTTTATGAAAATATGAAACTGCTGTTTAATCTAATTAGGTTAGATAGGATTCCTTTTGTTTTTGTTGCTGACTTTAAATTAATTTTGGTTGTTTATGGTCTGCAGACAGCCATTTCATTAAAACTTTGTCCATATTGCTATGTTAAATTACGGTCACTCCGGGGATTAATTACACAGAATATATGTGATGTAAACTCCAATTTAGATATTTCTTTAAAATCTTTAAATAATAGATGTGCAGGTTTGCGAACATATGGTGATCTGAGAAAATGCTACGACAGGTAAAATTAAACAACATTGTGTTTTAAATAATGTTCTGTTGTCAATGTACCTGTTTAATAATAAACATTTAATATATGTTTAATATATATTTTATTAGGTTTCAGCTATTAGGAGGAATAAAAAAAGAGATGCCTCAAACACTATGAGCACAGTGAACCTTCCACTTTTTAAAGAACCAGATTCTATGTTAGTTATAGCTAAATGCCCTCTTCCTGAACTATATTTAATACAAGTATTCGTCAATCATGTCTTTTGGAAGGGAGTTTTGCCACTTTTAGGCAGAAAAAAAGCCATGCTATGGCTCTTAAAGTTGAAACTGATTTCAAAAAGTTACCAGGTGAGAATTTTCTTAAAAAATTTAGAGACAGTTTTTACTAATTAACATCAAAATTAATTAATACGTAATTGTTGTCTAGAGTGAGGTTTTTGAAAGCAATGCATGTTGTAAGCTATTTCAACACACAAATAAACTTCTTGAAACTGATGTCCTTGATAAAGTTGGCCCGTTATTGTTTTTGCCTTTAGTTTCATTGCTAAAAGCAATGGCCAATGTTGTCAAACTGGAAAGAATTTATTCACAAATAATCTCATTACCTGCAAGTTTTGAAAACAATGTTTCAAGCAACAGATTTATCTGAAACTCTAAAAATGCACATAATTCTTGAACGAATTGAACAATGCCTTTGTGAACTAAAATCATATCATGGACTAGGATTTGTATCTGAACAAGCCGGAGAGTCAATTAATTGGGAATTTTTAAAATATCGGTCACGATATCAAATTGAAATAATCACCCATGTGTCGTATAGGGAGAGGTTGATAAAAACTGTTGTGGAATTTAGTTCTAGACATTTATAACAATTTTATTTTCTATTTATTTTAATTTTATTTGTTTAAACCTTGTTTTTTTTTAATGTTAATTATGAAAATATCGATTAAAACAATTTGTTACTTCTTTTGATTCTAATTCACTTAGCAATTGCTCCAATTGGATTTAAAGTATGGAAAAGTATAGTTTTATTGCATATTGTAGATATATAATAACGTTCAACAGTATCTCAGATAGCTAAAGTAATCTATTACTAATAACATCTTTATAACTCACAGTTTTTTCTATTACCATATGTCAGATGAAAAAATATGTTTTAAAATAATGACTAAATTAAAAATTAGTTAAAAATCATGGACAAGCAGTTAAGATTTTAATTTCAACAGATTTGTGATGTAAAAAAAAAGTTCTAAAAGAATCTGCAAACAGATTTTGTTGACATTTTTATCGATCTTGAATTTGTTGAGGGCCAATGTGTATGGGTATGAATTATTATTATTATTTTTTTATATTCTTATGCTCAATAATAAAAATGAAGCCATTGTAAAATGTTAGAAATGTAACGATTTTTTGCAAACTTCACTGTTTATATTTTCCCCAGATTTATTTTTAATAAATCAATCTTGGTAGATCTTAATTTTCTTAAGCATGATAAAATAAAGGTAAAAATTATTTGCTCTGTTTTAATTTTTTATAAGCTTAATGAACTTATTTGTAATAACCTAGCAATACATTTTACTATAATTTATAAATTTATAAATATTTTACTATAATTTATAAATGGTTATAAATTTTACTATAATACTATTCTAATTAAAAATTTTTTTTTGCAGAGTTTAGAGAGAACAAGTGGATTGGTTCTTCTAGATGGAATTAAAGTTGTAACAAGAAATGTTACTGTAAGTTTGAATTTTTTTTTTAACTTCCTATCTAATCTTTTAATTAATTGGTAATTAAGTTGTTTTTTAATTAGTAACTTTTGATGTCAATCAAAAAAAACTAATCAATTGATCATTTTGTAATTTTTTTAAACTTTTTTTGAATACATTTTTATTTGTTCAAACATTTCAGCATCTCTGCATTAAAATATAAAGAAAAATTATTAAAATTTTATTTTTAACAGAAACTTAAAGTTTGAAAAATTCAATCAAGTTTTTTTTGAAGATTTTGTTGAAAAAAAAAACAAATATTATTTGAGTTAAATGGCATTTTGTTAAGTTTTAAAATTTAGAATGACAGCAAAAGTTTTCATTTTTGTTGTCGTAATTAAAAGAATCTTAGAATTTGGAATTTTCCAGGTGTGATTGTTGATAAAAAAAAAATTAATATTATAATATGTATTTTATGTTTATTAATATAGTAAAATAATTTTAAAAAATTTAGTTAAACATATTTATTTTTCAGAATAAAACTCTTTCTTTTTTCAGAAGAATCTTTTTCCTAAAAAAAATTTTTTCCAAAAATAATTTTTTCCTGAAGAAAATTTTGAACATATTTTGTATTAGGAAAATTATTTTTAAAAACCTGTTTAATTGCTTTTAAAAATATAGTAAAAAATAAAGTTATAACTGTTTTTTTACTGTTTTTTTTAAAATAAGTTACAAATTAAATTTTAGACTTTGAATAAAGGTATAAAGGTTTATGTAACAACTACAATTTTTTTTCTCTGGTATATTTTAATTACTTAGGTTAGTAATTTTTATTTTTTCAGCATTATTTTTCCATGTTACTGCATGCATCAGATACTTTTGAGTTAATGGAACAATTGGCAAATATCGGAATGAAAAGGTAAACTTGAATTCCAAAAGTATAGAATACTTTATTCTATGCTTGAAGTATAGAATAAAGTATTCCATACTTGCAACTGTTTTTCTACTTTGTGGGACAATTGTAGCAGTATGAATATAGTAGACATTTTTTTAGTAAAAGTAAGAATTCAACATTGTTAATTTTTAGGTTATTTAGAAACCATGATCCACTAAATTTGAAATTGTACTCTAACTTAGAGCATTAATATTTCTTATGGCCATTACTTGCACATAGTTTTCTTCAGTGATTTTGAAGTCCACTAAAACATACATTGATTATATGGAAAAAAATTATGTACATGCAAGTGCTTGGAATGGAGGAAGCTGTCAAAAATTTGTTTTTGTGGTTGATGCGCTTTGTTAGATTTTCCATAATAATCGTGGCCTTAGGTCTGCCTAATTGTATTTTTTAAAATCTAAAAAAAAAATCCATGTGCATAGTTAGAACAATAAAATTATAAGCTAGATCTTGCAACATACCTTAAAAAAAATTTTAAAGTGTTTTATTTTTCTGTTTTATGTTTTTATGCTTTAATTTTTTAAATTTCTTAACTTTTTGTTTTAATCCTAAATTTAAATCTTTTATATGCTTTTGCTTTATATAAGAGAAAAGTGGGCCTGCATTAGTGCTTTACACAAAGAGCTAGTTTTTTTTTCTTGATTCTTCAATAGTTTTATCTGAAATGATCTTTATATCTGGAACATAAATCTCATCAGCAGGAGACTTAGACTTTATTGGTATTGGAACTGGCTCTAACATGTCAATATCTGTAAAAATATTTTTTGGTGGGTAAAGCAAGTTCCAACAATAAGTGTTGATTTCTTTTTATTATAAGCAGCAAGAATGTTTAAAGAATGGGTACTTTTGATGCTCTTTTACAAATATGAACTTCATGTTGTATTGGCAACTGTTTGGTTCCTTCCAGTATATATCCAAAGAAAAACTATGGTATGCATATAATGAGATGTAACATGAAAAATAAGTAAAGTATGACATGTACCAAGTAGTATTTAACACAAATATCACACAAAATTAGGAGTCATTTCTCAAAGTTAATTTAGGTATTACACTTTTGCAAACGCATGACTTGACTTGTTAGATTTAAAAGCACACAATGAAATTTTTTACTCTTGTAGAGTTTTGTTACAAAAATATAATATGTCAAAACTTTTAATTACAGGGTCATTCCATGTAAGATAAGCCAAACCTTCCTGGTGACCATCTCAGATTTTCTTGAAATTTACACCATTTATAAAAAAGGTTTTATGAAAAAAATGATTTTCCTAAAATTTTAACTCGTTATCTTGATCCATTCTAAAATTATGGCGATTTGAAAAATTTATGTCTTTGCCTATTTTGAGCAATGTCTTTTACAAAAAACTCTCATTTTCAAATCTATATAAATAAAAAACCAATCATCTTAAATAATTAAAAATCAATCTGATGACAATAATCTACCACAACTTTCAAAAAAATAAAAAATAATTTTATGAAAAAAGATATTTTTGGCAATCTTGAACTTCAAAGTTATTAAAAAAAACACTTTTAAAAAAAAATTTCAATTTATATTAATAAAATCAAATGAAAGTGGAGTACACAAGCAAATGTGAAAATTATGTTATTTTGTGAGAACATAGGTAGTCATCATTCCTGTGTGGTAGTCATCATTCCTGATAAGTTTTGTAACATTGGGTTCAAAATTAGACAGTTGATTTTCAGTTCTTAAATGGACCTAATTTTAACATTGTAAAGCCTCCAGCTTTAAAATGTTAAAATTAAGTCCATTTAAGAACTGAAAATCAAGTGGATATCCAGTAAATTTAACACTTGAAACTTTTAGGAATGTATCTTCAATAAAAGAAGAAGAAATACAGAAAAAATAAAAATGGGATGTCTTGTAGCTGCTGAGATATCTCAACTTAAACCTATCAAAAGAGGATTTCGGAAATCCAATTGGCCATTTTGAGTTATATAACTGATTTTGTTATATAACCAATATCTCTAAAACGGATCAAAATTCAAACCTAAAAATTATTTTTATTCCTTTGGAAATAAAGTGTTCTAAAATTAAATTCAAAGTTAATTATTTTTAAGTAGGGTTAAAAATGTAGTGACCAAGTATTACTTCATTTTATGATGATGCAATCTTTATTTTAAGTTATTGAATTTGTATGGTGCAAATACATTTTATTAATTTTGATAAATGAAATAACATATATTTTTATATTTAGATGAAATATTAACAAGTATCTTATAATTAAGTATTAAAATGAGTCACAAAAAATGTAATATTAGAGTTTTACTAAACCTTGATTGTCATAAAACTTTGTTTACTTAAATGGTTGTTTCATTGCCGAAAGAGTTATTCAAACCTTCACTGAAGAAGAAAAAAAGTGCTTGCTTGGTATTATAACTTTTAATGATTATAGTTCTATATGTTTTTATCCATGAAAAGATGTTCCTTTGTGAAACTACACAAAGGTATTGTGATATAAAGTTCATAAAACTACACAAAGGTATTGTTGTGATATAAAGTTCATAAAACTACACAAAGGTATTGTTGTGATATAAAGTTCATAAAACTACACAAAGGTATTGTTGCGATATAATGTTCATAAAACTACACAAAGGTATTGTTGTGATATAATATTCATAAAACTACACAAAGGTAATGTTGTGATATAATATTCATAAAACTACACAAAGGTAATGTTGTGATATAAAGTTCATAAAACTACACAAAGGTAATGTTGTGATATAATATTCATAAAACTACACAAAGGTATTGTTGTGATATAATATTCATAAAACTACACAAAGGTATTGTTGTGATATAATGTTCATAAAACTACACAAAGTTATTGTTGTAAAGTTCATAAAACTAAATAAAGTATTTAATAAGTAATATTTGAAAATCTTACAAAATTTTCTTTTTCTTTCTGTGAATATTTTCAAAGTTAAAAATTGTTTAGTTATTTTTTTGTCAAAGCTTTATGTTATTGACAAAAAAATTGTGATGGATGTGTTTAACAAGTTTCATGTTTATACAAAGTTTTATATTTTTGATAAAAATTGTAATAGTTGTATAGATTGGTTTTCTTATTTTTTTTTTTAGAATCTCTTCGGTCAATCAATGAAGCAACAGCTTTAAGAATGAAGTTATGCTCGGTCAAAAACTCTGTAGAACTTTTCGAAAAAAAAATAAAACTGTTTAAAACAATTAGATTGACGATGAAACCAATACATTATACATTCCAACAACAACTATATGTCATACATTCCAACTGGTTCTGAGCTTGCAAATAAAACATTTAGGATGCTGGGTTGTTTTGTTAAAATCTAAAAAAAAAATCGTGTCTATTCGAGACAGACCCAGTTATAGGAAAAAAAAGATAAAGGAAGTTTCAAATTCTTGCCTACCATTAATTTCGAGTTATTTGGGAATTTCCAATAATGAAATTTCTAACAATTTTTCAATAAACAATGAGTATATGAAAAAATTGACTGACTAAGATTTATTTTTTTTTTTTTATTTTATTTTTTTTTTTAATTCACCTCCTCAAGGCCAAGAAGGCCACTACAGACGAGGAGGCTACTTATTTGTGGCTATAACCCTCTCTCAACTCTATAACTCCGAAACATGAACCTTGACGAACAAGGCCGCTGCGCGGAGAAACGAGTTGAGCGCAGTACTACCAGAGACGTGGTGGGGATCGAACTCGGAACCACTCGTTTATGAAGCGAGCGCTCTACCACTACACCACTACCGCATAGCATTTTGTGAAGCCATTAAGGAAATAAATGCCAAATCAAACAGAAATAAACTTATTAATATTAATGCCAAATAGTTGGGAAATCCAACAAACAACAGAATACTTTTCTGTACCAAAGTCAATGGTTAAAAAAGAGTGTAAACTAAAGGCGTCTAAAGGTATCTTAGAAGAGTGTAAAAAATTACTAGAAATAGGATAGCACCAGCACTTAAAACAACTATCAAGAATTTTTATCAGTGACAAATATTCTTGGGTTTATATTGGTAAGAAAGAATTTGTTTCAGTTAAAATCAATGGTCAAAAACAACATATCTAAAAGCGATTATTACTTGTAAACCTAAAAGTGCTACATTCAGAATTTCTAAAAGCAGGAGAGAAAATAAGATTTTCAAAGTTTTGTCAGCTTTGTCCTAAATGGTGTGTAACAGTAGATAGTACATCTAGTGTGTATTCAGTTTGTGTCTGTCAAGTACACCAAAATTCATAGTGCATACTTATGCAGTGCCGGTAACATTGAGTATAAAGAACTTTTATCAAAAACAGTATGTGATATAAGAAATCGCAATCGTAAAACAACTTGTAGCAAGGACTAGTCTGCAAAATGACTAAATATTATCTGTCACTGAAATGTTTAGATGGTGTACTGAAAATATAACAGGTATTAAATTAGTATTTCTGACTAATATGACTATAACTAATATGACTATAACAGATCATATAGAAAATGCTAAGCTTGATGACCGCTACTCTAATTCTAAAAGAATTCTGGGAATGCATTTGCATCACTGTTTTATACCATGTAATGATGGAAAGCTAGAACTGAAATGTATATCAGGTGGTGCATGTTTTACAACAGTTAATGCAACTAATAATGAAAAAGCCTGGACTTTAGGACGGAAAGGTGATTTGCATATTGCAATATATGTTGCATTTGTCTATAATAAAGAATGGTACATTGGAATTGTACTAGAAATTGCAGATGATTCAGATATTTGTATAAAATATATGCAACAAAATGGAGTAAACTTGAACAAAATAGAGTAAATGACCCAGGCAAAAAAGACAAATGTTGGATTCCTGTTGTAAAAGTTTTAGCAAAAGTAAACACTCTGGTTGCACAACGTCAATCAACAAAAAGCCATCAAATTTCTGAGCAAGAATTTAAATAAATATCATCAAAATGATAGTCTAAAATATTTAGACTATTATTTTGAGAACAAGATTTATTCTTTATTATTTTGTTTTTTACATTCTTTTATTGTAATTGAGATTTATTTCAAAAAATATTTATTTTTGTAAAATAATTTTTTAATTTTTTGAAAGTTAAAGTAGATTACTGCTATTAGATTAATTTTTAAGTATTTAAGATTGAAAAAGATCTCACTTTTGCTACAGCATGGGGCTCACAGTGGCTGGTGAACTTTAATTCAGATAAAACTCAATTTTTTCAGCCAATCGTTATCGCAATAATTTAGATCTTCCTATATTTATGAATGAGTCATCTACCCTTGATGAGTCATCTACCCTTAATCTTCTAGGATTAACTCTTACTTCCAATCTTTCTTTTGGAAACCATATATTAAATCTGTTGCAAAATTAGCATCTGCTAAAGTTGCATTTCTTTATCGAGCTCGACACTTTCTTGCTTTGGATTCTATTCTCTATCTCTCTAAATCTCAAATGCGACCTTGTATGGAATACTGTTGCCATATCTGAAGCAGATCTTTTAATGATGCCTTTCTCTTTTAGACAAGGTGCAAAAACGCATTGTAAACAATGTTGCTTTTCTTTCTCTTTTCTATAAATACTATAATGGGTACTGCTCTAAAGAGCTACCATCTCTTGTGCCTTCTACTAAAATTCACTCTTGTGTTACTCGTCATTCAATTAGGTCTCATCCTTTTTCTGTCACTGTTTCTAAATGCTCCAAAAACTCTTATTCATCTAGTTTTTTTCCTTAAACATCAGTTCTTTGGAATTTGCTTTCTTCATCTTGCTTTCCTGATTCATATAATTTGTCAATTTTTTAAGACCTCTCTCAAAAAAAAAAAAAGATGATGAGTTTTTTATTTATATGGATTTAATTTTTGAAAAAGACAAATTGCTCGAAATAGGCTAAGATATTAGTTTTTCAAATTGCCATAATTTTAGAATGCTTCAAGATAACTCAGTTTAAATTTTTGAGAAATTTTTTTTCCATAAAATCAACAGAAGTTGTAAATTTCATTTTTGAGTTTTTGAGATGGTCACCCAAAAAACTTTCAAAAAAATTTGCTCATCTTTTATGGAATGACCTGACATAACTAATTATTGTAATTGTAGAGTAGCAATTACTAAGTATATCTATATTGTTGCTACGGTATTTTTTAGTTTAAAACTAGGTGAATTAAGGCTACTTCTAGGACTTTTTATCACCTGTGCACATGGATTTTTTTCAGATATCGAAAAATGAATGTATATGAACAACCTATAACTTTTAATAAATATTTTATGGCAGACCTAAGACCAAGGTTGTTATGAGTAATCTAATAAAGCGTATTGACCACAAATATTTTTTTTCATATAATTGATTTATGTTTTAGTGGCTTTCAAAATTACTTAAGAAAACTATATGTAAGTAATAACCTTAAGAGGTATTAATTCTCAAAGTTTAAATACAATTTCAAATTTAGTGGTTTAGAACCGTGGTTTCTTGTCTCACAAAGTAGTAAATGCATTTAACATTTTTAAAAAATAGGCTGAAATAAATAAGAATTTTTAAGTATCTGAAAATAAAAACAATTTGAATACTCCAGACTTTGCCTAGATTTTTCAGACAATGGCTCATCATTTATTTTACTTTAACATAATGAAATTCTTTTCATTTTAGACTTCTTTCAGAGGATTCAATAGAAGAAAGGAAAAATGAAAGGTTTTTTCTTTTTACTAGATTAATAGGTACAGAGTTAAGGCCCATCGTGTTTTGATAAACAACTAAGTTTATTTAGTATTCTCAACTAATCTAATGGTTTTGTTTAAAGTAATTTAAAATTTAAATACTAAATTTCTTGAGTTGATTTAAAAGTCATTATTTACCATTATTTGCGTTAGATTTGAGCTAGCAACTATAAAAATGTATGTTTATATATGTGTGCATATATATGTGTGTGTATACATACACATATGTGTGTTTATACATACACATATGTGTGTGTATACATACACATGTGTGTGTATACATACACATATGTGTGTATACATACACATATGTGTGTGTATACATACACATATGTGTGTATACATACACATATGTGTATGTATACATACACATATGTGTGTATACATACACATATGTGTATGTATACATACACATATGTGTATACACATATGTGTATGTATACATACACATACACATACACACACATGCATTTTGATTTTTTCATTCTCAAGATTTAGTAATGTTTTTTTTTTTTAGCTTAAAGTCCAATACAATAATAAAAAAATCTTCTTCTTTTCTAAAAAGTGACTTGGATGCTAGAGCAGCAAGCGAACATTATCGGTTTGCATTTTATTTTACTTTAGTTTGTTTTTGTGAGCAATCAATGTGTTTCATAAATGAATCAAAGAAAATTCATTTATTATTTATATGTATTGTTATTTATATGTATTGCTAATTATATGTATTATTATTTGTATGTATTGTTATTTATATGTATTGTTAATTATATGAATTGTTAATTATATGAATTGTTATTTATATGTATTGTTATTTATGTGTATTGTTATTTATATGTATTGTTATTTGTATGTATTGTTATTTATATGTATTGTTAGTTATATGTATTGTTTTTTATGTATAATTTTTAAAGGTTACTCATAATAAATTACATTTTGTGGTTTAGAATTTAAAATGTTTACATTCTGTTGCTTAACAGTTTTAAATGCTTACAATCTTTTTTATGACACACTTTTCAAGCGACATTGGGTAAAAGTTAACTATTTTTAATTTATCATTTTTTTGTCCAGGCGAATATTTCATTTACCAAAAGATGAAAAACTTGATGTAAGTCTTCAGTGTACTTTATGGAGTCCTTTTAACAAAGCTCACATGTGGGGGACATTGTATATTTCACCAAACTATATTTGTTATGAAAGTAAGGTGTGTTGTTTACAAAATATTTATTATTAGCTTAAATCTGTAATCTACAGTAATTAGTTAAAACCCAAGTTCTATCTGTTGCTACAGTAATTAGTTAGAACCCAAGTTCCATCTGTTGCTACATCTTTACACACAATAAAGTTTTATTATTGATATTAGATAAAGCAACTGTGTTTAACAATTTTGCCAATGCGTGAGATTTCTGTTGTTGAAAAGATGAGTGCAACGAGTATTGTACCTAATGCTGTTCTTATCACAACTAAAATGAAGGTAATAATGTGCCAGATTCAATTTCTCAGGTTTTCATTCTGGTTTTTCTAACTTGCAATAATAATTTTGTTCTTATCACAATTAAAATGAAGGTAATAATGTGCCAAGTTCAGTTTTTCTCTCAGGTTTTTTGAACTTTTAGTAATTTTCTTTTTACATTTTTTTTGTTTATTTAGACAGCGTTTTTATTTAGACAACGTTTTTATTTAGACAACGTTTTTATTTGCCTCCTTGAAAGATCGAGACTGTTTAATGGAGAAGATTTCTGATTTTCTCTCAAAGACTCCGCCAATTAAGTGAGTTATTTTAAATAGTTTTATTAAAAGTATATAATTCAATAAAATAGTTAAAAAAAATAATAAATATTTTAAATTTGTCTATGAGCCCAAAAACTAGGATGGTAGTGGATGGGTAGCAGTGATTAGGTGGGTAATAATTGGTGGACCTATCATATGCCACTCAGCCTCTACCATTATTGTTTTAGTTCTATATGTAATGTTGTGCCCTTTCAATCGAAGTTAGCAGATAAGTCATTGATTTTGGCATTGGAAAAGGTTTCAGAATCAACATTTAAAAAACTGTTGTTTGGTCAGCTTAGTTTTAATATTTATTTTATTTTTATACTTTAATATAATTTTTATATTATTTTAATATTTTAATATTTATTTTTAGTTTTAATATTTATTTTATTTTTCATTAAATCAAATCTAATATAAGATTTTTCAAGAGCTGGATGATTGAGTAATTAAAAACTAGACTTGTTTAAATCAGATTATTTTTTTAATTTAAAAAATATTTATTGTTATATTATATTTTTTAATGTATAAAATGTTCTCACTGACCTGATCTTGATTATATATGTTGGGCTGGATTTTAGTCTTCTCTAATTTAGGAAATTCACGATTCAAAGTTCATAGTGTCTTGTGGTTTAAAAGAAGCCTTCAGGAATTAACATTAACATAAAATAATCTGTTTAATAGTTTTAACTTGTTTTTGGACCTTTGTACATAAGAGAAATGCAAAAAAATTCATTCATCAAAAATGTTTAGTTTTACTGTGAACTTTATTGAAACCTTGACAAAATCTTGAAGAAATCTCAACAAAATCTCAATCAACAAAAAGATATTAATTATAGAGCTAGTAAAGTCTAAAAAAGCACTAAGCAAAGTATTTCAGCAACATTTTGTTTGAATTCATTTTTTTAAATTATGTTTTTAACTAGGCCAATCATTATGAAAAAGTCCCTAATACTTTTAGTAAAGATCTTTCGATTTTTAAAAGTCATAAGGCATCTAAGTTGGATTTAAAATACAAAATGTATAACACTAATTTATTTAAGATTTTTATATTTTTTTTAGACCTTGACTAATTGAACTTTGCCTAAAGTATTCATCAAAGATACCCAACAGAGATCTTTGCAAAGCCATGGAAATATGGTGCCTAAAAAATTACATCCATAATTAGATACTGGAATTTGGGCAGAGTTTGGGCACTAATTTAGATGCCCAAACCAGGCCTGGATACGAGTGTAATAGTAGGATTGGCCAGTATAATAAATTTCAATTATAAAACAGGGATTATCTTTTTCTGGATATTTCCAGAATTTCAGATATTTTACTCAACTTTTTATTTTTCTAGATATCAAAATGTTTTCCATACATACAAGTTTAGCCTCACTCTTGTCCATGGTTTTTCTCACATTGTGCTGCTTTAATCGAAACCATTAATTCCATATCTATTAGCAAAACAATTCTCCAGAAAACAGGCGTCTGTTTATTACTGCTAGAAATCATTGCAAAAAGGCTTTGTCTAATGCCAAAGCCCGCTATTCTAAGGTCATAAAATCTTGTATTTCGTCACAAAAGTTAGGCTCTCATGATTTCTGGAGAATCTTTAACAGTATCAATAATAAGGGCAAGTTTGTAATTCCATCTCTTTTGTATGGTACAGACTTTGTCACCTCACCTAAAGACAAAGCTGAATTATTTACTAAAAACTTTTCATCATTATCATCTCTTGATTCCACTAGTTGCGTTCTACCTGATAAAGCCGTCAAACAGGTTGATCTATTGCTTGACATTCATATCATTTCAGCTTCTGTATCTAAAGTAATTTCCTGCTTAGACTCTTCTACAGCTTGTGGCTCGGAAGACATACCTGTTATAGTTTGGCAGAAGTGTTCTCCGGAGCTGTCGTCTATACTTTTAAAACTATTTAACAAGTGCTTATCAGAGTCTTGCTTTCCAGCCTGCTGGAAAGCAGCATCTATTATCCCTGTTTTTAAAAAATTCTTGAGAGCGATCTGATTCCTCTAACTACTGTCCCATTAGTCTTCTTCCTATCATAAGCAAGGTTTTTGAATCTTAAATTAACAAACACTTAATCTCTCATCTTGAATCTAATAACTTACTTTCTGATCATCAATATGGATTTCGATCTTCTCGTTCTAGGGCTAATTTGCTAACAGTAATAAGCAATAGGTTTTATCGTGCATTAGATAAAGGTGGAGAGGTTAAGGCCATTGCTCTTGACATTACTAAAGCATTTGATAAAGTTTGGCATGCTGGTCTTCTAAGCTTTAAAAAAAATCATTTAAGCTTTAAAAGGTCTTTTAAGCTTTTTTCTTACGGTGTATCTGGAAACATCTTTAAGATTATTGAATCCTTCCTTTCCAATCATAGTATAAAAATTGTCCTTGATGAACAGCACTCTTTTTCTTATTCTGTAACCTCATGGGTTCCTCAAGGTTCAATTCTTGGCCCTATACTCTTTTTAATTTACATTAACGGTCTTCCAGATATTTTGACATCTAAGGTGGCATTGTTGGCTGATCATACTACCATTTATTCTTGTCACGATAAGAAGCCAACACTCTCTGATTGCTTTGAGGAGGCATTTGAGCTAGAAAAGGATCTCACTTCTGCTACAGCATGGGGCTCACAGTGGCTGTTGAACTTTAATTCAGAAAAAACTAAATTTTTTTTCAGCCAATCATTATCGCAATAATTTAGACCTTCCTATATTTATGAATGGTAATATACTCGATGAGTCATCTACCCTTCATCTTCTAGGATTAACTCTTACTTCCAATCTTTCTTGGAAACCATATATTAAATCTGTTACAAAATTAGCATCTGCTAAAGTTACATCTCTTTATTGAGCTCGACACTTTCTTACTCTGGATTCTATTCTCTATCTCTATAAATCTCAAATTCGGCCTTGTATGGAATACTGTTGCCATATTTGGAGCGGATCTTCTAATGATGTTCTTTCTCTTTTAGACAAGGTGCAAAAACGCATTGTAAACATAGTTGGACCTGCTCTTGCAGCCAACCTTCAACCATTATCACATTGTCGTAATGTCGCTTCTCTTTCTCTTTTCTACAAATTCTATAATGGGCACTGCTCTAAAGAGCTAGCGGCTCTTGTGCTATCTACTAAAATTTATTCTCTGGTAACTTGTCATTCAATTAAGTCTTATCCTTTTTCTGTGAGTGTTCCTAAGTGCTCTAAAAACTCTTATTTCTCTAGTTTTTTTCCTTGAACATCAGTTCTTTGGAATTCGCTTCCTTCATCTTGCTTTCCTGATTCATATAATTTGCAATCTTTTAAGTCGTTTGTCAATTGTTATCTTGCTCTACAAACTTTATCTTTTTTCTCCCAGTAATTTCCAACTCTAATTAGTGGTTGCTTGCAGCCTTGTTGGTAGCAAAAATTTTAAAAAAAAGGAGGTATATATTTTTGTAATATATTTGTTTTTTAAGCTTTTTTCGCTTATTACTCATACAAAAATTGAAGAAAGTTAAAAGTTGAAAAATTGAAAGCATATCAGCTAAAATCAAAATTAAGAGCAGTATAAGGGAAAAATGTATTCCGGATTTTTTCTGGATATATTACCCAAGCAATTTTCCAGTTTTTTAAAATATGACCTGGATGATCTATGATAAAAACAAGTAAAGTATGTCATAAAAACGGCCAAAATAAAACCTTAGTCGTCCATTTATATGTCTACAAGCCAAATAACAAAATGAAAAGAGTTGAATGTTCCTTTTGTCCTGGCATCTTGTCTAAAAATCAAACTCAAACAGCAAGGCAAATTAAAAATGTTCTAATACATTGGTCAGAGTTATTAAAGCGTTATTAATACAATTAAAGTTACAAAACAATTAAAACAATTATAAAGACTTACTTTACGAATCATCAGTTACATTAAAACTATTTACAGTAAAGTAATACTTTTTTTACTGGTACCAATTTATTTATAATATCTTTCATTGTTTAAATCTGATTGATTGTTACTGATTTTTGCCTAAATCTTTTCCTAAAAATTTTGTACAACAGTATTCAGCAGATTTGTCAACTAAATTGATAACCAATGAAATATATTAATCTCTCAAAAAATTAATTTTTGTACATTTCAAGTAGTAACAAAGTATAGTTTCTCTGCAACTACTTATTTGAATACCCATATTTCAAGAAATTTTTTTTTGATTTTTAAGAAGATTTCTATAACATTTTACTTTTTGTTTTCGAAGTTCTCTCTTGTTTGTTTTACAGATCTTTTCTGATGTCCAACTCTCTGGAGTGAATGTAAGAAAGGCAATTTTTCATAATTTTCGTGATTGGTCAGGTTTTGATTCAATTCAAGTCATTATTTTTTTCGTGTGCAACTTGATCTTTTTTTGAAACGAGCTTAAGATGTCAAAATCTTGATCTTTTTATGTATGACTGTTAACATAAATTTTTTTGTTATATTTAATGCAATCTGATCGGCGGTGCTTCAACTAGACTTATAAAATAAAAGACTTGAACTAGACTTATAGAGCAATAAAAGCCCACTGAGGAAAATGAAACATTTCTATTGAAAAAACTTTTTATATTTAGGAGGATAAGTAATAACAACAAAGAAAATATAACAAATCTGTGTTCAGAATAAACACAGATTTATTTTAAGAAGAAAAAGCTTATACACGCTTATATTCATAGTCAACAGTAATTTTATCGTTAAAGTATACCTAAAACAAAACAACCCATAAGTAATCATAAATCTTCATTAAATACAAAAGTTTAACAGAATCTCTTGGTTTAGTTTAGACAGTTCTATAAAAATTTTACTATTTTTTTGCCTTGTTAAATTTAATAAGAATTATTTGTTCAACACTTTACTAATACAACAAAAAAAAAACTATACTAATCATTATTAGTTCTAAAAAATAATAACAGTTTATTTGTTAAAGTTTTGAAAAATTATTTTGAATTTTAAAAAATGTACCAACCAATCCTGCACTTTAACTCAAATTCAATTTTCAGTATAATAGTTATTAACTTTAAAAGTTAATTTCAAAACTAAGTAAATCAAAAATTAAAGTTATTATAAGTATATTGTTATTTAAATGTGGCAATTATTTTTTATCTTTAAAATTTTATATTATTAGAATATGTTAGTTGAAGCTAAAGTTATTATACTTTGTCATTTTAAAGATACAATACACTGGCCATGTTGGATATGCCAATGCAAAGTTCTTCTTTTCAACCAGCACTTAAAAAATTATTTTCTTTGACTAACAAAGATGGAAATCCAGTTAAAGAATCTGTTAAGGAACATTTGTGGTCTTTGCACTTTGAAGAGTATGGCAGGTAAATGTTTTAAAACAATTCAGAATTTATATAAGTATAACATTTTTAACGTTTAAATAAAGTTTTTTTAAATTGCTATGCATTTGAATATTTTAAATAAAATAAATATTTGAATTAAAAAAAAAAATTGAACCAATATTTTGTTTTAGATAATGCCATTTATTAAGTTTATATTTGCATAATTTAATTACTTGTAAATATAATTTTCCTTATCAATAAATTTTTTTGAACTTTAAAATATATAGAAATGATATAGATGAACATAATCAGGCATAATTTTATTTATTGTATTTATAAATTTTTTATTTAATTTATCCAAATTGTTTATATTATATTTATCATCATAAAAAAAATTCATTGCTGTTACATTTATTCATACTTATTATTGGTTTTTCTAAACTTTAAATTTTACAGTTATGTTTATTAACCCGACACATTAAATTTAGCTTAGTCAGAGAAATTTATGGGATTATTTAATATGTGGTTCTTATGCAGTTGAATTGTTCCAGTTCTAGAGCAGTTTGACCATGAGTATTTTTAGTGGTTTGACCATAATAGTTCTTAAGCTGTTCGACAATTTGACCACTTAAGCTGATTGACTATCTTTAAATATTTTTTGATGCAGTATATCAACTTTAATAGATTAAACATGCAGCCTTTGTGCAGTGATTAAAATTCTGGCTCAGAACCAAGAGGTTTGTGGTTTGACACTGGCTCTAACCTAATAAGCAACATTGGTAAGAAAAGAGGTGTGAACTTCCCAGTTGAATGCTCTTATGCGGTGATTTATGATATAAGGACTTCTGGGAGCACCTAAATAACCTCAACAACAACAAAAAAAACACTTAAGTTATGAATGTATTTTAAAAAAGGAAGGATACTTATATTTGCACAGAAGATGTTTCATTTATTGTTGTTTCAGGTTTTTCCTTCAAAGTTGATGCCACTTTCATAATATCATTTTTACTATTTTTTTTTTTGTATAACTGTGCATGATTTTATTTGCCAACCAAATTGAAGGCTCCCAAAACCTATGGCATTATAAAGAAGTTCTTCTAAAACTTAATGAACTTTTTTTATTGGCACTATTAAGAAAATTTTTTATAGCTAAAAAGCCCTTAACATTTTTGAATAGTTTTTATAACACTTTTACAATATTGTAAACTTTACAATGTAATTACGTAGTTACATTAAATAATTTAAAGATGTGACTTTGAAAATTATTTTCCTATAAAACAATGACGTTTTTATGTAATTGGCATTTTTATGTAAAATCGCATAAAAGCATTAGGAAATTGCTATTGCAATTTCCTAATGCATCATCTTGCATAATGCAATATCTTAATGCTTTTATGCATTTGCATAATGCAATATCTTAACGCTTTTATGCAATCGCATAAAAGCATTAAGATATTGCTTTAATGACACTTATAATTTAAATCATTTCTGCATTAATAAAAGCATTTAAATGATTCGTTTTTATCAAAAACTAAATTTTTTTTAAACCAACAGATAAATATGATAAAAAACTTCAGATAAACAATAATAAGACAATACCAGCAAAGTTAGTGGATGGTAATGAATGCTTCAATTTACAAACGGACTCTGTATAGTTGAAATTTATTATTACATGAAAACAAATATAATTTTGAATAAGAAAATTAATTTTCTTTGGAAATGCTAACAAAAGAACAGAATTTCATTTTCCAAAACAAAGCGAAAATGATCAGTACTCTCTCTCTCTCTCTCTCTCTCTCTCTCTCTCTCTCTCTCTCTCTCTCTCTCTCTCTGTCTGTCTGTCTGTCTGTCTGTCTGTCTTGCAGCAATCAAAAAAAAAAAATAGAAAGAAGTTAGAAATCGTCTTGTTGCTCACTCTCTTCTTCTATTGTCTCAGTTGAACAAATTCAGACAAGTGAGTGGCAAAACATGAGGAGATCAACATTTGATAAATTTAAAAAGCTAAACAAATATGGTGCTGAAGTTTCTCAATTTGTGTGGACCCACCCAGACCCAGCTAGTTTTTTTATCATTTAAAAATCAATTTAATTTTTCTAAGATGTTTTGAAAAGTTTATTTGAATCAACTATAACAGTTATTGATAATAAAATTCTATAAAAATTACAAAATTTTGTAGTGTTTTTATTTTAAGATAAAAAAAAATAATCTTATTTATAGAAATCTCAATTGGCAAGACACAAATTCATCAAGCTCTTGCATTGTTGTACCAGTTAATCCAGCCCCTAGCCTAGACTCTGTCTCTAAAATGCCTGTCGAAACAGTTCCAAAGTCATTAACTGCAAAATCAATTGCCCAGAATATACCAGTTATTTCTACAAGTTCTATTAAACGTTTTATAAAAAGTTTATTTTATACTTATCATTTAATCTTTACTATAATAGTGTATTATTGTACCATCCTTTTTGTCCAACCAATAGCAATCTAGCTAATAACTACAATCATGTAGTCACTAAAATATTACTGTAACTTTTTAATTTTAAACTGTAACTTTTTTACTTTTGTTATTTTACTGTAACTTTTTAATTTTGTAAATACTTATGATTGATTGATATTATCATATTTATTTAAAGTTGTAAATGTCATAAAACTTAAATCAAGTCTCCTTATTAACATATTTTTTTAAAAATCTATAGGTAAAATTGTTAAGGTTCCAAAAAAACAACCAATATCATCATCTTCTGACATCTTTAGCATCAAAAGATCTGCATAATTTCAGAACTGCTGATGAGTTAATGTTTAGAAAATATTTCAATATAAGTTACTCACATTAGGGTTGGGTAAAAATTAAGCAAATGTTAAAATTCTGACATCACATATAACAGGTGATACAGAAATGATTAGACAAATCTGAATTTAATTATTTGAGCTTAATAATTTGTTTTTGTGGTTTTATGTATTATGCAGGTTCTATAAAATATAAACTTTATTATTTGAAACACAATTATTTAAAATGAGGTTAATCAACTCTAGTTAACCAACTATAACACAAAACCAATTCTGGTCATTGAAACTTTTGTTTTGCAGTGGATACTGCTGCAAATTCTGGATACTACACAAAAAACAAAAAAAGGTGTAAATGAACTTTTTTTAAACATCATATATAAAAAGGTGTATTTTTTATTTTGAAAAAAAACATATCATTAGAAAAAAATAGTTTTAATTTTTTCATTACAATCGAAAATTTGCTCTCAGACCCACTTTTGAGGCGTTTAATGTCCTTATCATTTCTCAGTTTTATGGTTCTGAGGACACTCTAAAAATTCTTACTTGTCCAGTTTTTTTCTTAGAACATCAGTTTTTTAGAATTCGCTTCCTTCATCTTGTTTTCCTGATTCATATAATTTGCAATTTTTTAAGTCATCTGTCAGTTGTTATCTTGCTCTACAATCTTCATCTTATCTTTTTATTTTTATTTAGAAAAAATTTAAAAGTATAGATGAAAAGTTAAATAAAAGTATAGATCAAAAATTGAATAAAATAAAAGTATAGATGAAAAATTAAATAAAATAAAAGTATAGATGAAAAATTAAATAAAATAAAAGTATAGATAAAAAATTTGAATAAAATTAAAGTATAGATGAAAAATTTGAATAAAATAAAAGTATAGATGAAAAATTTGAATAAAATAAAAGTATAGATGAAAAATTTGAATAAAATAAAAGTATAGATGAAAAATTTAAATAGTCTTCTAGTGAAAAAAATTATTGATTTTGAATTTTGTGTAAACAAATTTTTTTTGCAAATATTGTTACTTTTCATTTATTTTTTAGTTAAAATTAATCAAATCATTGCTATTGTCATAGGGATAAATTAAATCAACAACCAGAAGAAAAAAAGAAAGAAAAATTCTTTTCAAAAAAGTTTCAAAAATTCTAATAAGTATTTAAAAAAGTCATTATTAGTTTTTATGTTATAAAAAAAAGTTACTTTTTTTTAACATTATGATTTTGAAAATTTTGCTATTAAAAACAAAAAATATATAGGCGCAATTAACAAAATAACACTAAATCAATGACTAGTCATAATAATCTTTATGAATAAAATAGTTATAATAATGAAATTTCTGATGTAGAAACAGAATACAGTAAATAGAAGCAGCAAATTTTAGATCTACACAAAAAAAAGTAAATAATCCCCCACTCTTTTGTAGTCTATTATCAAAAGTAAAACTAGAGAAATGGAAACAAACATTCTAAATGCTATCTTAGCAGAAAGAAAAGAAAAATTGAATACAGAAAATAAATTGCAGTTTTTTTTTCAAACAAATCTTTTAAAATTTTAAAAAATAGTGCTGATATTAAGTAAAAAAAGACAAGGCTCAAAATTAACAGTTATATAAAATCTTTTGAAATTGAAATTTAGGCTGAGAAAATATAAATTAGATCTATCTATTGAAAAAAAAAATACACTGATCAAAAAATTTTATCCCTTACTAAATCTAATAAAAGTGCTTATCTATGACTCTTCTCTGGGCAATATAAAATATGAGAATCACTTAATTAGTATTAATTACTCATTTAAAAAAACAAAATTCCGTTATATTAAAGGTAATTAAAAAGAAATGAATAAATATTTTTCTAGAAATTGAAACAAAATTTATAAAATTAAATGCTAATAAAACTTATAACAAAAAGTTATTAATCTATCAGGGTGCTTGCAATAAATTCAAAACCAAAACTAAAAATCTATGATAATAAATGATCTAAAGAATGATACTAAATGTATGATATGAATGATACTAAAATTTAATGTAAAAAGAAGATAATATTATGGATCAATTGTAAAAACAACAAATTTTAAAGTTTATCAGAAGTAGAAGAATATAAAATAGTTATATAATAATATATAGAAAAGAATTAAAACTCCTCATAAGAAAAGTAAAAAAAATACAAAAACCAACTTAGCAGCAAACAAAAGTTATATATGTATATATAAACAGTTAAACCAAAGCTGAAGATTTTATAAAAGCTTTCTATGCATATGAAAAGTTATCCAATTATGAAACTGCTATCACTAGTGATGGAATTAAAGTAGTAAATATCTTGAACAAGTTAAAAAAATGAAACTTTCATTTTTTTTTTTTTTTACTGACTTTTTTAAGGCCACTCAATTAAGAAAGCAAGAAAATTTTAATAATTATAGTTACAACTCTTTCTTAATTCTATAACTCGAAAATACAAACCTTGGCAAACAAGGCTGCTATGTGGAGAAACAAGTAAGAATTTTTGAGCACTTAGGAACACAGAAATGAATTTTAGTAGATGGCACAGAAATGAATTTTAGTAGATGGTGCAATAAAGAGATGAACTTTAGCAGATGCTAATTTTGCAACGGATTTAATATATGGTTTCCAAGAAAGATTGGAAGTAAGAGTTAATCCTAGAAGATGAAGGGTAGATGACTCATCAAGTACATTACCGTTCATAAATAAAAAAAGGTCTAAATTATTGCGATAACGATTGGTTGAAAAAAAATTGAGTTTGATCTGAATTAAAGTTCACCAACCACTGTGAGCCCCATGCTGTAGCAGAAGTGAGATCCTTTTCAAGCTCAAATGCCCCCTCCAAGCAATCAGAGAGTGTTGGCTTCTTATCATGACAAGAATAAATGGTAGTATCATCAGCGAACAATGCCACCTTAGATGTGAGAATATCTGAAAGATCGTTAATGTAAATTAAAAAGAGTATAGGGCCAAGGATTGAATCTTGAGGAACCCCTGAGGTTACAGAATAAGAAGAAGAGTGCTGTCCATTGAGGACAACTTTATACTATGATTGGATAAGAAGGATTTAATAGTCTTAAAGATGTTTCCGATACACTGTAAGAAGAAAGCTTATGGAGAAGACCAGTATGCCAAACTTTATCAAGCGCTTTAGAAATGTCAAGAGCAATGACCTTAACCTCTCCACCTTTATCTAATGCACAATAAAACCTATTGGTTATTACTTTTAGCAAATTAGCCATAGAACGAGAAGATCGAAATCCATATTGATGATCAGAAAGTAAGTCATTAGATTCAAGATCAGAGATTAAGTGTTTGTTAATTAAAGATTCAAAAATCTTGCTTATGATAGAAAGAAGACTAATGGAACGGTAGTTAGACGAATCAGATCGCTCTCCAGAGTTTTTAAAAATAGAGATAACAGGTGCTGCTTTCCAGCAGGCTGGAAAACAAGACTCTGATAAGCACTTGTTGAATAATTTTGAAAGGATAGATGACAGCTCTGGAGAACACTTCTGCAAGACTATAACAGGTATGTTGTCCGGGCCACAAGCTGTAGAAGAGTCTAAGCAGAAAATCACTTTAGATACAGAAGCTGGAGTGATATAAATGTCAAGTAATGGATCAACCTGTTTGATGGCTATATCAGGTATAACGCAACTAGTGGAGTCAAGAGATAATATTGATGAAAAGTTCTCAGCAAACAATTCAGCTTTGTCTTTAGGTGAAGTGACAGTCTGTACCATACAAATGAGGTAAAATTACAGATTTGCCCTTTTTATTGATACTATTAAATATTTTCCAGAAGTCACGAGAGCCTAATTTTTTATGATGAAATACGAGATTTCATGACCTGAGAATAGCGGGCGTTAGACAAAACCTTCTTACAATGGTTTCTAGCAGTAATAAACAGTCGTCTGTTTTCTGGAGAATTGTTTTGCTAATAGATATGGAAGTAATGGTTTCAATTGGCAATTGCAGCAGCACTATGTGAGTAAAACCATGGAGAAGAGTGAGGTTTGACCTGGAATCGTTGAGAGGGAATAAAGGATTCCATGCTAGCCTGAATCCATGAAGTTATGTAAGAAGCACAGGAAAGCAAAAGCTTTCTACCCAAGGGTCATCACAAAGAAAATCACGGAAAGAGTCTAGTCAGCTCTTAGGTAGTTGTAAAAGGTACAATGGTAGGGGGATTCTGATGATAAAGAAAAATGAGATAATAGTTTTAGAGAAATCAAACTCATCAGAGTTTGATTTCTCTAAAACTATTATCTCATGTGATCAGAGACACCTAAGGGTGAATATGGAAAAACTGAACTGACTAGGATCAGAAACAAGACATAAGTCGAGTAGAACTTGTGAACTTTGCAAGAGATAAGACTTAACAAAGAAAAGTTACTTTGAAGACCACGAATATTAGTGAATAGGTTTAGAGAACATGGTGATGGCAATGGTTTTTTGTGTTTTATAGTTTTTGTTACTTTATTCATTTTTAAATTTGTTAAAGAACTTGACTCGATGCATAGATAGTACTCATTACTATTAATAGCCTCATTACTATTAATAAATCCTAAGCCGTGACAAAGGGCTTTTATGTAGCCCTGGCAATGCACACCAAAAGTACAACAGGAACACCATCTATGCACAACATGGCACTGTTAATATTTTGATATTTTTCAGCTGTTGATAGAATCAGCCTCTCTGAGAGCTACCATAGAGTTTGGGAATCCTGACAACCAACCGGCCTCAGTTTTAGAGCTGTACCCTCATTAGGAGAATAGTAGAATGAGTTGCCTAGTCAAAAAAACAGAGGCACAAGCAAAACTTATGCATCAAGTCAAGAAGATCCAGCATTTAACATCCTAAACTGGAAACAATGTATTAAAAATACATCTGCGCCAGCCTAATAAATGAAGAAGGGGTGCGAGGCTGGTCAACAGATAGAATCTGTTTACCCCTTAAGTCATTGCCTAGGAGGCCTTTTACAAGACAGCAGCCAGATGCATATAACATCTGCCCAAAATGAGTATTTTTATGAAACACCATCTCTAGTCTTTACTCAACCAAGAGTCCAAAGGCAGGGGGTGTTTTATGTCAGAGTTGGCATCTCCTAGCCTTTGCCTAAAAAGGTGTATCCTACAAGGCAGCAGGATTGTACATGTTACCAGTAGCAGGATAACCTGACCTGACAAAACTTGCATCCTTAAAATAAGAACATCATGCTTCATTGTTTTTTTTTTAGTATTTTAACAGATCTTTCTCTCTTTAAATATATTCTTTGACATCTAGCTCACTATTAAATGAGTTGTTTTGTAATTTTAAACAAGTAACAAGCAAACTAAATTTTTTGCAAAGGGGCCTGATGTAAAGTTTGCAGCTTTTTCATTTTATTCTGTTAACTTGGTATTTGTTTCTGGTTTTGGTATCCTATAATTTCAGTTTATCTAACAATAGGACCTATTTTCCTTAATATTTTCTAAATTATGTGAATCTTTATTTTTTATATGGTTTGAATATTTAAGTATAACAGCAGTCAATACCCATAATATGGGTTCACAGTAGGTCTGTTCTGCAACTACCAATTATATACTTATTCTTACGGTCAATTTCAATAGAGTAAAATTCTTTATCTTGGCTTTAAGTTAAGATAATTGCTCCATACTTAATTACTCAAAATTGTAAATTTCTAAAATAGACAGGTGGTGAAGGCTAATTAGTTTTTGCTTTTTATTTTGTGCACCCCTATCTATTAATTTATGATGATCAAATATGCAATAAAGTTTACAAATCATATATCTTTATAACAAATTATTTATAATTACAATTTATAAATTATTTACAAAATAAAAAAAAAATATTTTTAGCAAATTTACAAAACATAACAATTTTCTTCTATATGCATAGGTTGTATGATAAATCTAAAATTAAAAAAAAATGAAACTATATGCAAATCCAAATAAAATACATCACCTATAAAAACTGGAAATTGATTTACCTGTTGTGCTGCAGTTGTTGTTGTTGATGCAGCAGTTTTTGGTGGTGTATATAAGATCATTCAATTGTTTCAAATTATTGCTTGAAAAGCCAACTATGAAAGAGGAAAACCTATTCAAAATAACAATTCAAAAGATAAAAAATCAAATTGAGACTTAAAAAGTAAAAGCAAAATATTTTGTCTCAAATTTTTAGGGAATGATTAAAAGCAGTGAGTTTTAGTTATGAAACTACTAATTAATTATTTTCAACAGACACCAATAGGAAGTTAAGCCAAGCTGTCTATCAATAAAAAACATCACAAAAATAAAACACAATAGCACATAGCATATGATACATTACACTACACTAAAGACTAACATTTATGTGTTTCCAGAATAATATTTTATAAAGATACCTTTATTAGCTCTATTTTGATAAAAATGAACAGCACTTTACATTTATTCTATTTTGAATAACTAAATATGAACAGTACTTTACATTTATTCTATTTTGAATAACTAAAAATGAACAGTACTTTACATTTATTCTATTTTGAATAACTAAAAATGAACAGTACTTTACATTTATTCTATTTTGAATAATTAAAAATGAACAGTTCTTTACATTTATTCTATTTTGAATAACTAAAAATGAACAGTACTTTACATTTATTCTATTTTAAATAACTAAAAATGAACAGTACTTTACATTTATTCTATTTTGAGTAACTAAAAATGAACAGTACTTTACATTTATTCTATTTTGAATAATTAAAAATGAACAGTACTTTACATTTATTCTATTTTGAATAACTAAAAATGAACAAATGAACATATTTATTGTACTTAGATACTTAGTACTTAGTCTTTTTGCTCAGCAATTTTTAATTGTGCTTTAAAGATTCGATAGTCAATAAATTATAAAATCTCTATCTGTTTAACTTTGCTCATGCATGGTTGATATCTGTTTTGTGTGTATGTGTTAATTTAAAAATATGTATGCATTCTCATTTCTTTAGAGGTGTTTGTATGTACCGTACTCCAAAAACACATGAGCTTATATTGAAAGGTGTTCCGGATAGTTTACGTGGTGAAATTTGGATGTTGTTTTCTGGAACAGTTAATGAGGTAAAATAATTTTGTGTTTTACTGGTAACAAATTTTTTTAGTTAGTACAATTTTTTTTTACCATTTGTAATTTTCTATTGTTTTATTGTATTGAGTTCATATAAAAATAATAAATATATTAAAAAATATATTGAAAAAGAAAATATGGTATTTAATGCTTAATGTTAGAGTTGATGGCATTTTTTTAAACTAAAATCTTTTGATTGAAATAAATAAATTTAGTAATAATAATAATAATAATGAAATAAATAAATTGAAATTAGAGATTCGGTTGAATCATAGGACGCCAGTTATTTAAACTCTCAAACTGGCTCATTTTTTATTTTGTTTTTTGTTGAAATATGGTAGTTAAACAGATGCTAAGTCTATCAAAAGCAAAATACTTGAACTTACGTTAAAATTAAATCTATTTATAAATTAAGGAGAATATGACCATTGTTTCTAAATTCCGAAGCACTGATGTGGTTTTTCTCAGTTACAGTGATTATTTTTGCTGAGTAATGTATTTGGTTGTTACAGTAATAGGCTTTGCTGAATGATAAATCATTCAAAGTTGTTTTGGTTGGCAAAACAGGTGGTAGTTTGCCTGAGCAGCAACCATGGTAATTTTAAAAATAAAAAAAACCTAAATCAGGATAAAAAAACAATACAGGCCTGAAGATAGATCCTTGAGGATACTGAAAGTGAAGGAGAATGTTGTCTATCAAAGAAGAAATTAATGCTGCTGTTAAATAAATAGTTGAATATAATTCAATGATTTTTATGAATTTTGCAGGTTTACAATATGAAGAAAACAATTAAGAAGACCGACATATCTGACTAAGTTATTTTTATGTTTTTTTATTTATTTATAATTTGTTTTTAGCTGGTCTCAAATCCAGGTTACTATGCCAAAATGGTCAATGAAAGTCGTGGTAAAATGGTTATGACGAGTGAAGAAATTGAAAGAGATTTACACAGGTGATATAAATTTTGTAAACAAAAACACCTCATTATCTGCTCACTAATTAGTGTTCCTAATTTTTATTCTACTTTTTGGTACTTCTTGTAAATGAGCCCTTTTAAAAAGTATTATACTTTTTAGAAAGGCTCATTTTTTTTTTTAAAAAAAAAAACATTTTTATAAATCTTATTTCTATTATTGTTATAAACAATTTATTAAATTATAATTTTTTTTTTTAATTTTTATAAAATTTTATATTTTATATTTTATACTTGTATATAACATTGTATATATTTTTAAAATTTTATATTATATATTTATATATTTTTTATACTGGTGCCGCTACATTAACTGAGGGTTTGGCATTGGTCATCAATTTTTTTTTTTCATTATTTTTTCTTTTGAAAATGTTGTATAATTTAATGTAATATGCTATTAATTTATACATTTTATTATTATAATAAAAATTTTTTACAGTACAATACAGAATTTACAAAAATATTATAAAAACATATAAAAAAAATATTATAACAAACATTAAAGATTTATTTTTAGTTAAAATCTTTTATAGATCACTACCAGGACATCCTGCTTTTCAAACTGACGTTGGAATTGATGCACTGAGAAGGGTTTTAACTGCTTATGCTTGGCGCAACCCTAATATAGGTAAAACTTTTGGTGTTTAAAAAATATTTTGATGATGTCATACTGTAATAAAGGTAGGCAAAACTTAAGTATTATTTTCTTTTCCCTTTGTCTCTTTTTAAAAGATAATGCATCATCTTTACTTTTTCTAAGGTAGCTTTGATTATATAAGTTATTGATTTTTTTGAGATATCTCAATTACAACTACTCAGTGGCGGATTAATACTTCTAGGGGCCCGAGGCTATTTTTGTTTTTGAGGCCTTTTTATGGGCCAGAGCCCATAAAAAGGCCTCAAAAACAAAACATTGATAATTTTCTTAGAAAATCATCAATATTTTCTTAACAATATTATTAATGATTTTCTTGAATCAATTCCATGATACTAAATTCTTCATTAGTAGCATAAAGTTTCATTAATAGAGAAAGTTGTTTTAAAAGAAACAAATAAATCTGAGATGATAAATCCCTTTGCATAAGCACAAAACATAATACTTGTTAAGAATATGAACAATTATTAATTTTATAAAAGATTAGTTATAACATTTCATTTACTAAAAAATAAGAATTCTTTTCAACAAGGTTTTGCACAGGGGTCGAAATAAGTGCCGGACATCGCCGCCCCTCAGACCATTTTTGAGACCTGCTAGATGAGGACAACAAACCATTGTTCATTTTTTCAGTAAAAATGAGCAATGGTTGGTTGCCCTCATATAGCATACTTTAATATCTTTGAAAAATAAATTTATTTGAAGAGTTAGATTATCATATCATTTTTATGATAATCTAACTCTTATCCCAATCATATCCCAATGGATAAAATGGATAAAACTGGTATGATAGCATATCAATGTTATTTTATGCACTTTTTGAAACGTATAACTTTTATCTGGGATGGAGGTTTCTTAGTTGGAGGTTTACAAAAATTATAAAATTTTAAGCATTATAGAAGATGAAATATAAAATTTTTTCGTATTTTAAATACTTTCTTTCAAAATGATCCAGACACATAACTGAATGCTTATTTGGCTTTCATTCTTTTCTGTTAATAAGTTTCATCCATTTTTCTATTCAAATAGTATCTTTAAAGAAACTAAAAACAACTTTACTTACAAAAAGTGAACTAGATTCACCTTTTTAAATTTATTGCTAATTTGACTAGTGCATTTTTATTCGCCATTATAATCACAATTCCGTTGTCAACTTAATCAATATCTCCTGGAAATAAAATAAAAACGATATTAATTAAGAACTTTATTGATGTATTACACATTGGTTTTATCTGTTATAATCAGTAAGCACAACAAAAATTCAAAGAGACCCTTGTTCTAACCAAACAGTTTTGAAGCTTTCATAAACTTATCTGATTTTTTTAACTAGTAACCCTTTGTATTTCGTGTTTTATAATAGATACCATTATAGATAATCTTTAGTAAGTCTTTTTATAACATATTGTAGTTTAATTAATAAATGTGTTTAATATTCTATAGCGTATTGTGGTGCAGTAAAACCGCACCATAGAAGTTAGAGACCTAAACTTGCAAGATTACATGTTATTATACATATGTTAATTTAATTAAACTTTTTTATAGCGTTTTGATTGTTATTAACACCTTACTATAAGTTTTATAAATATGAAGAAAAAAAAAACAAAAATTAAATAAAATTAGTCGTTGTGTTTTATTCATTTATATTAGCATTAATTTAACTAGAGCACTTTGTGTTGAAATTAACAATTTAAAATTTTAGTTTCTGCGTCGTTATAATCAACGCAGATCAAGCATTAGTTTTTATATCAGTCAAATCGCGATTTGACTGGTATAAAAACTATTGCTTGAAAAAATAAAAAAGTGAAAAAAACAAACGAATATGTCAAAAAATTTTATTATATCCCAATTAAAACTTAAGTTTACAAATATGAATTTATGTTTATAATTGTAAAAAAATAAAATGAGTTATAAAATAATAATAATTTCAACTAAAAGTATAATTTTAATTTAAAATTTTGAAAAAAAATTGTTATGAAAATAATATTCATAACGATTTTTTTTCAAAATTATAATTATTATACTGTATGATACTTTATAATTATTATAATGTATATTAATAAAATTATATTTAATATTGTTAAAATTATATATTATTAATTTATATAACTTTACCAATTAAAGATGTTAAAGATTTTAAATTAAAAAGATTATTCTAATTTAATTTAAAAATTTAATTAAAAAAATTTATGTTTTACTCATGCGTTCATAAAAAATGAAAAAAAATAATGTAAAAAATAAAAACTTAGAAATATTTTTATCATATCGTTGTCAAGTATACAACAAAAATAAAACTAACATAATAATTTGTAATTAAGCTAAAAAATGACAATGAGATAGGAAGACAATCTTTTTATTAAATTTCTAAGTTAATTTTATCGTTATATAACAAACACTGAAATCCAGTATCGCAAGGTTTTTTTTTTACATAAAATAAATAAGAAACATATTCTACCAATGAAATAAATAAAGTTCTAGAAATGTCAATTACAATTAAGTCAAATCCTAATGGTTTAATGACCTCTCAAATGTTTATGATACAGTTTCTAAAATAATTAAGAAATGAATGTATTCTTTTAAAAAATAAAATCAATTACAAGGTGACATAATAGATGAATTGACTAATGTTAATGTCTTTATTTTTAGTTTATTGTTCCTTTATTTTTAATTATTATTATTTATTTTTTTTGTTCTTGATGAACTCAAAAATTAATATTATAATAAATCACAAGACAAAAAAATAATTCATCTACAAAAGTGAGATCAATAATTTTTCACAGGTTATTAACAAAGAATATGATAACTAACATTATTAAATAAATAAAAGTTTTTAAAAATGTCTGAAAATTTTATAAACAATTTATGAAGTCTAAAAGAAAAAGAAGTTAGTGGTGTTACCGATTGATTTGCAATTCATTATTAAATGTTGGCATGGAGAACAAAAGGTTTTGGGGATGACAAATTTGTATTGCATTTTAAAAACAATTGTTGTCATGTCTGTATTGTGGTGTCTCGGTTTGCTGTTATGTGGTATCTCGGTTTGCTTTATTGTAATTTGCTGATATTTTAAGAATTGCAAAATTATTATGTAAAGTTGTAACAGACTAGATTTTTTAACTTTTTTTAAAAAAATATATTGTTTTAACCTCATTTTTAAATAATTGAAAAATGAAAAAGTAGCAGGTGCAACAATTTACAAATTGGTGTCTATCACGTGTTTAGACAACAATAAACTCCAAAGTTGTTTAAAACTCTAAATCGCATTTTTTCGCGATTGCCAAAGATTAATGATTAAAAGGAAAAAGTGACGACATATTTGTCATTCATTTTTTACATTCCAACTACATTCTTGTCTCTTCGTCTATAAAAAAACATCTCTTAAAAGTAGTTTTTTATGTTTAAATTTAAATTATTTTTTAAAACTTGAAACCTTTTTTAAACTTTTTTTTTAAATTTAAGTATAATGTCTATATATTTAATATATATTATTATTATCTATTATCTATTTATGACTACTTACGAGCTAGTAATTTGGAAATTTCAAGTATTTTATTAAAATCTAAATAAATATGTGCAAATTATTTTGGCCTTAGTTAAGTTAAAATATCTGTTTTAGTATGTAAACTTATTATTACATAGTTCTTTATAATAAAATACAATATTTCTAGGGGTTATATATACCGTCGTTATTCAAGTAATATAAAAAAAACGTTAAAAAAAAACAAACAAATAATAAAACTTCAATGTAATGTGTTACATATTTTTCTTATTTAAGACGCAAGAACATTGAAGTTTTATTATTTGTTTTTTTTAACGGGTTTTTTATATTACTTAAATAACGAGGGTATATATAACCCCTAGAAATATTGCATTTTATTATAAAGAATTATATAAGGATAAGTTTACATACTACAACAGATGTTTTAACTTAATTAAATTATATAAAAACTTATCTAAGATGTTAACTTTCAAAAACTTTGGCCTTAGTAATCTCAAGGGAAAAAAAATTATTAAAAACTGTGATTGGTTAATGTTTGAATTAATAGTCTTTTTTTTTAAGTAAGAGATTTATATTAATATGAATCTTCTTTGTCAAGAATTTGTTAAATTAAAAAAAAAAATTATAAAGGTAATAAGAATTTGTCAAATTTACCCAAAGCAAGAAACATTTTTAATACAAAACTTTCAAAACTGTCTGTGTTAAATAAGAAAATTTTAAAATTAAAAACGTATTTTTTTCAGTCTTTTAATTAAAAAACTTTTTAAACTAGATCTTTCGTTAAGCATCAATTTTTATTTGTTTATTTTTATTCATTATTATTTTTACCTCCGTTTTACAAAACTAGATAAAATACCACACAACAAACTTTTTCTGTGAACCAGTGTGTAAACAGGCCTGTAATGTTGTGTTTGGTTTTAAAATTGCACAAATACCTACATTAAATAACTTATAACCCGGTAACAAATACGTCAACGGTAACTCTGTCTCGGAAATTACTAGCATTTTTAAAATACTATTTCGCTTTACATCGAATTGCGTTTCTTGCAACCTTAATGCTTCTCATTTTGTGTTTTATGTTTCCATGGATGTATTTACAAAAATATTTAAGAACTTAATTTTGATATTATTTCCGCAGAAAGTTTCAGTGCAATAAGTCTCATACTACTGCATTTTCAAAGAGTTTCAAACCTTGTTTCTTAGAGGTGGATTCCTCTGTACTCATTATTTTCTATAAATATGATTTGAGTAATTTATCATTTTAAATTACAAATTTTTTTTTTTTACACATTCGAATCGGTAGAAATTTTACACATTATCAGTAGAACAATAACTAAATTTAGACGGAATATTAATTAATATTATTTTGTTTGCCCGCGTTTTAAAAATAGCGAAGTGCATTGTTTTGAGTTGTTCTAATCTTTTTTTTTTTTGATCTTGTTTGTGGCTCTCCTCTAGTTTTAAAATTAGGTTTTTAATGCAGCTTAAATAAAGACTTTATATGTTATCAGCTTTTAAAACATTCCAGGCGAGATCAGTTTGTGTTTAATTATTTTTGTGGCTGAATGGTAAAAATCACAAATAACTTTATTTTGAACAAGATTCAAAAATTTGTATAATTGGATGATTCACAAAATCTCGTTTATCCGACGAATAATGCGTAGGCTCGTTAAGAATGTGTGTATCAGCTAATTTGTTTCCGATATTCAGCGCGCCTGCGATCATTGGTTCTATAAATAAATACGTTGTTCCTTTTATTCTGATTTTAAGTCTGCTTGTTCATGATCGGTGTGGTCATTTGTCTGATTGTGGCCTTTAATTATATTGCTGTTATTTGCTGATCGATTTTATTTGTAACGAGAAAATACTGATTTGTTGCAATTTAACCTGAGTAGTTAGCTGAATACTTTGTAAATTATTATCGAAAGTTATAGAATTGTTATATTATAAAACCATAAATCAAGGATTTGTGTAAAAATATTTTACACCGAATAAAGATGAATTACATACTCTTCTACGCCTACATGTATGTCGTATTTTTAATTAAAATGACGTTTTCATTACCGAACCGTAAGCAAAGCCTGAAAGTCGCTAATGTTGAAGATTACAGTATTCGAATGAAAAGTTTGGGTGACAGAGAGAAAAATGAAAAATTCATGACAACTGTTTTAGAGTCATCAGCTAGTGCCTCACTAAGCGAACTTCGTTTTGAAAGTAAAAAAAGTTTATGGAAAAATGATGCTACTGAAGATGTTATTCTGTCAAAAGTAATTGCTCCTGTGAACGCTGACGGTAGTAAAACTGAAAAAATATTCACGGTTTTACGTAACAGAGTGATAGCAAAAGTGAAAAAAGTTGATATAAATACTAAAAAACGGTTAATACACGGTTTTTGGCATGGGTAAATAAATATATATGACATTATATTTAATAAAATAAATAATATTAAAATATAAAAAATGTAATTTAAAAATGTAATATATATATATTGAATAATATATTGAAATAGAATTCATAAATCTTTTAGGTTGTTTTTTTTAATGCCTAATAAAGTTTTTACATTTCTTTTAAACATGTTTAAAAAAAGGAAGCAAACCTGAATCACGTTGAGTGCTTGAGTACCATTTGGTAAAAAAAGTACCGATGATAATAAAACCATATTGTTTTTAATTTTTACTCAAACCATTATTGAGTACGCAAAGCCAGTATTAAAAATTTATATATATATATATATATATATATATATATATATATATATATATATATATATATATATATATATATATATATATATATATATATATATATATATATATATATCTTTTAGAAATATTATGCTGTTAAATATTATATACTATTGCATTTTGTGTTCAAAGCAAATCAAAAAATTTTTAGGAATTACTTATATTGGATTTACTTGTATAAGTATTAAATATTATAAAAGCTTATTTATATAATTCTGAGAAAAACAATTTATTTTTTCTAAAACTTTGATACATTATGTTCGTTAATAACAATTAACATAATCAGTTGATAATTTTTATTATACCGAATTCAAACTGTATTAACTTTTAAAAAAAATTTCTATTGATTTTTAATTGTTAATTAACAGAACATATTGTAAAAAATTATTAAAAAAAAAATTATTTTTTCAGAATTATTCAAATTATTATATAGTTATTAAATAAATTTATCTTTTTGAAATAAAGATATGGTAGTTTAAAATTTTATTTTATAAGAAAAAATTTTATCTTTATTTCCTATTTATACGTATTAAATTACTACGATCAGGCTGAATATACGGACGAAATAGTTCCGGTTAAGCTTGACGGGACTATTTCTCCGGCTATATAATGCACGTTCTGGAAAATAAACGAATTTTGCGTTTTAGTAAAAAGGCTATGTTTAACTGAATTTTTTTAGCAAAACTAAAAAATAAAAAAACGCAATTTTTTTTTAATTTTAGTCTTTTCGTATGTCTAAAATTAAATAACGTTGAAATTTTTTTAAATTATTCGAGTTCAGATATAAAATTTTGCTTTGTAGTTGAGGTATATTTGGTATAAAATGACGTTGATGCTATACGAAGATAAAGTATTAACTAAAGAAAACAACATTTTCAAATATGTTTTGAGTCATATATTCAATTTCTAACCAGTCGTATGTCTAAAAAGGTAGAAAAAAATTAGTTGTTTCAAGTTTAAAATCTGTTTTTTCGATTAAATATGAAAGTTTTTATTAATTTGAATGTGACACAAAATTTGACATACGGCTCTTTAGACTATTAATGTTTTATCTCTTATGCTTCATTTAAAAGTCTAAGTTTTTTTATAGACGAAGAGACAAGAATGTAAATTTTAAATACTATTGTGATATGCATCACCTCTATTTTATAACTAAAAATCTGGTCTTTAAATTACTTGAATATATGTAAAATAATGGCAAAATTTAATATTTCTTAAACGATTTCGGAAAACAAAGGAACGAGTGAAAAACATTTTTATCAAAACAAAAGAAAAAGTAAAATTTTTATTTTCACAAAAGATTTATAATACAATCAACTTTATCTTTTATTATGACAGAGCAGCCTATTGTCGATCCTTTAACTTGCGGTTTTGCTAAAGTTTCAGTTTTAACTGAAAAACATAAAATCAAACATCTTGTAAATGCAAATCATAAGGTTTTTTCAATATATCTTAATTATGTTAAATCACTAAACCTAGTAAATATGTTGCGGACCAGAAAATTTGTGTGTTTGTTGTCACAGAGAACAAGCGAGTCAAAAAATATGAAAACTTGCATTGTGTTGAGTGTATCGTCATTGTAAGGATAAGACTTGTAACTTGAAATTTTTAAATAACTTTGAATTTTAAATTCACTTTCTCGTTAATAAATGTATTTAGTATTTAAGTTTAAATTGGACATTACTTTTTTAAATAAATTTTGTTTTTCGTTTAAGTTTTTACAACTTTTTTTTAGTTTTACAGCGGGATATAAAAACAACGAATAATGATAAATTCTCATAAAAATTCTTTGATTAATACTTTTCACTTAAATAGAATATTTTGACTTTTACTAATATCTTTTGTTATACTATAAATAAACAGTTATTTATACAAAAAATGTTAATCTCTTTATGTTTCATAAACTCAAAATTATTATACTTGTTTTTCACAATTGTTTATTACAAGTGAAAAGATTCTATTATCGAAATAAAGATTGTTATCGTTAAATGAGCAGCTAGGTTACGATTTTGTTGCTAGGATACGATGCAGAGCGAATCAAAAATCGAAAAAAACGGATGTTTTGGGAAAAGTGTTCTGAATAATTTTTTTAATACAGTTTAACGTCAGATTTATTGTTATTTTTTAAGTTTTAAAAAATGATAGTATTTATCCCGCTTTATTATTTATTTATCTTTTTGATTTGTTATAATTTCTAGTTGCTCAAATGTTAGTTCAAACCAATGTTTTACGCACTAACATTATACCTATTACCCATAGTTACCAATAATTTCTGAGCAAGTTGTTACCAAACTCGGATGCATTTTGAAAAAAAAAATTAAAGTTATTTAGTTTTTTTTTTATAAAAAAGCCAAAATTACATTTACTATAATAAATTAAATATTGCACTTTTTAAATATAAGTTTTCAATGTTTTAAGCTGTTAATTGAGCGAAAAAATACATTTCTTTTTTTCTTTTTCTTTTTTGAAGGTTATTGTCAAGCTATGAACATTGTTGCGTCTGTTTTATTATTATATTGCACGGAAGAGGAGTCATTCTGGCTATTAACGTGCGTCTGTGAAAACATGCTACCTGATTATTACAATACAAAAGTTGTTGGTGCGCTTGTCGATCAAGGTATAGTAGTTTATAGGTAGTAATCATTTGCAATATTGCAAATATAGTAGTTTAAAGGTAGCAATCATTTTGATCCTACACTGACGTCATACTTAAAGTCTTTTAAGAATAAAACATAGGTTAAATAAACGGTTAAGAAATATTACGCAAAGGGTTACCTATATTGCTCTTTTTTAGTGGAAAAAAGTGTTTTAGGGCATTAAATTTAGGAAGTGTTTTTCCCTCTAGGAATTTAAAGTTGTAAGATCCTCCATCGGTTGTTTAGCAGGGTCTCTTAAAAAGGCTTTTTTTTTGCATGTATATTTTTTTCTGTACCTTTTAATTTTATATGATTTTTTTTTATTATAAAATTTATATATGTTTTAGCTGTGTTTGAAGTTTTGACTGCTGAATATATTCCATTATTGCATGCTCATTTAAAAAAGCTTGGTATACTGAGTATGATTTCGTTGTCATGGTTTCTCACCATCTTCATAAAGTTAGTTTTAATTATTTTATATTTCATTCAAAATTATATATACGATTTTTTACTTGAACTGATTTCAGCAAACTGTGGATCAGTAAAATGCGAAATTTTTTTGCGAGCCGTGATGTTATTGGAATTAATGAAATAATAATTTAAAAACAGTTTTTACCTGAATAAACCTAACCTGAAGTCTAACCCTAATCACAACAACATACAAAATAATTTTTTATAAAAATAAAAATATTTTTGTTATTTATTAAGTAAAATTTTTGTTGTATAGATTAAACTTGTATAAGTAAAACTTGTATAAATAAAGTTGTCAACATTTTAAGTTGTATAATATTTATGACACTGGTGTTATTTATGCATAAATAACGGCAGCGTTAAATAAAATTAACAATATAATTAATATTACAATAAGATATGACTATGTATTCAATATTATTCTTGCAGTCGGAATGTTTAATGATTATCGTACGCTTCGTGACAAAATGCCAAAATACGTACAACTACAAGTGCTTTAAAATGTTTGCCCAAAAATTTAATCGTTTGATTTTGATAACTTTATTTATAAATACAATCAAAAAAAGAAACATCGCATTTATAAAGATGAATACCGTGATATTATTATTTTAAAATAAAAAAAAAACTAAGATCTAAAAATTTTAAAATGAAAACTTAAATTTAAAAATTTTTAATAAAAAACTTAGGATTTAAGATTTTTTTAGATGTTTAAAAGTTTTTTAACGAAAAATCTAACTTTTAAGAAATTAAATTAGTTTCACTAAGTTAGAGTTTTTTTACGTAAAGTAATAATAAAGAAGTATTGAAAATAAATTATATTGTTTTTTTTTTTTTTTCTTTAAAATATATTTTATATATATATATATATATATATATATATATATATATATATATATATATATATATATATATATATATATATATATATATATATGTATATATATATATATATATATATATATATATATATAAAATGACATATATTTTATATAAAAAGTAAAAAATTAATAACAAAATTTAGTTTCAATAATTCTTTGTGTTGAATGCATAAAGAATTATTGAATTGAAACAGTATTTCGGAACAGAGGAAAAATATCTTAATTTTTTTTAGCTGTTATTAGTTTTAACAGAAGAAATGTGAAATTTGTATTTAACAAAATGAAAACTGCTTGGAAAATGCTTAAAATAATACATATTAATAAAAAATAAAAATGCTTGCATTTTTCCATTGTATTTGCACAAACGCTAAAAGCTAAAATAGCTTGTATTTACTGTCTAATTGACGGCCCTATTGTTTTTGTGATGGAAATGGAAATGTTGTGATAATTTAAAATTTACTGAACTAAAGTAAAAGATATTTTCAAATTCAAAATATTGAACTTTCAAAACAAATTATTGTTGAAGTCTTAAAGATTTTATTTTATTAGTTAAATTATCTTTAATAGTTTATAATTATTATTATTATCTAAAATTGAAAAACATCAAGTCTTTTTGATATTAAAGACTCTTTTGAGATGAAATTTACTGCAAGTATGTAAAAAAAAAAAAAAAAAAAATGTGTTTATTTACTTATTTGTTTATTTATTTAAAGATTTTTATAGTACAAGAATGTTTTGTATCAGAAAACAAAAAAAATTCAGAAGCAAACTACGATATTGTATTAAAATAGAAAATAAAATATCGTGTAAAAAAAAACAATTAAATTTCAAAAACTTACTTTCTCAGTGTTTTTTTCTTTTCCTTGACTTTCCAAATTTTTCCTGCTCGTTTTCAACCCTAGTTTACATGGTCAATTATAACCATATTTTCATTTTGAAAAAATTACATTTGAGAAAAGATCTTGATTATTTGACCAGTTTTTCCTTTTTTCTAGGTAGATTTTTTATATTATTTTTATTTTAAATAATATTTATTGTTCAAGTTTTTATTGTTTGTATGTTTTGTTATTGTATTAATTGTTTAATTTTTCATCATTGAAGCGTTGTACCTTTGTCATGTGCAGTAAACATACTAGATTGCTTCTTTTATGATGGCGTAAAGGTATATTTAAATTTTTTTTAAAAGCCATGGCCTTTATAAAAAAAAGTTTTAAAAGGCATGGGCTCAGACTTCAAACAATGAATTTAGAGATAAATCTTCTTTATTTTGTTTTAATTCGCTTTACTTAATACAAAAAATATTGATCTTTATTTCTGTTAAGCTACAAAGACGTTATTAGCATGTCATTTACTTTAATACATTTTTTTAGGTGTTGTTTCAGCTGGCGTTTACTATCCTTGAAGCGAATAAAGAACGTTTATTACAATGTGTTGACGATGGAGAGTCAATGACTGTTTTAGGACATTATTTTGATCGGATTACTAGTAGAGATGCTTCTCATGTACTTGAGAGATCTAACCGCAGGCAGAATTTGCCATTTAATACAGGAACTCCAGTGGTAAACATTTCTTTAAAGATATGGGGTTGTCCATATAGTACGTCACGCTTTTAAAGGAGGGGGTGAATTAGTGGTTTTGTGACAACTCATACAGGATTTGTTACTAAAGAGTTGTGACGGGGAAGAGGAGGTCAAAAATTGCATGACGTATTTTACGGACGACCTTCTCTAATCTATATTTATATTCTACAAAATCTGTTGGTAAAGTGTTTATTGAACTTTAGGATATTAACGATTTAATAGTGCAATCTTATCAAAAATTTGGGTTTATGACATCTGAAAATATCGACAAGCAAAGAAACCAACAAAGGTTGCGCGTTATGCAGGTAAGCTTATTATGAAATTAGAGTTTATGGTGATAAGTTTACTCTTTTTCTTCCCATTTTATAACATTTTGTAAATGCTAGCATTTAGAAGACAGCGTAAAACGAAACGTGTTGCGACATTTAGCTGCTGATAGTGCATTTCCAGCAGATGAGCTGGAAAACTTATTTACAATATTCAAGGTATATTAGTATGTGTGTGTGTGAGTGTGCTTTTCCATCCAATGCTTTTTTGTATATCAATGTTTTTGAATTTTTGTGTGGTATCCTAAATAGTATTATTAGCAGCTTTTTAACTCACAAATAAAGTAAAGCCAGAAAATACATCTATGTATTGATTGTTAATAAATGAGTAGCGATTGCTATTACTGGACCTTTCTTTAGCGACTAAGTTCGTACATGATAGAAATAAGTGTTTAGTTTTTGAACTGAAAAATGATGATTTGAATAAAAAACAATAATTGTTACAAAAATCAGTATTATTTATTTTAATTTATAAGTTAATAAACGAAAAAATTTAGAACCTAAAATAATAAAATAATATATATATGGGCAATTCCGCGAGAAGAATACTATTACATAATTTAGTATGCAAAAGTTACAGTATTGAAGTCTTATACTTTTTTCAAAAATTAACTTGACGGTCAAAATTCAAAAATTAGCGTGACGGTCGTAACCTTTACTTTTTACCACTTCTGAACAAAACAGCTTTGTAAAAGCTTACTTTACTAAAGTTTAAATGGTTAATGCTTCCTGTTCCCAACATAAGTTTATAAAATAATTATTTCAAAGTAAAAATATCGATTTCAAAATAGTTTTTAAGCTTTGGTTGCCAACTTTCACTTGATTTTTTGCTTGTTTTTATTTCTTTTGTATTCTTTGATAACTGTCTTCTTTCCTTTCTTTTTTTTCCAACAACGCTTTTCCGTTTCTTGCTCTATAATCTTTCAGCATCTGATTTAGGCATTTTATAAATGTTATTAAATTTAACTTTTGAGATTAACGTTCTGTTATGATTTAAAAAAAAAACCGCGAAATTGATAATTGAAATCGACGTTGCAATGCGAACTATAAAAATCGTTTTAACGAAAAAAAAAATTCTTTATGTTAAAAGTTTTTATTTCTCTGCGAATATTAATTTATTTACATCAATTATTTTAAATAAGTGATTTATATTTAAAAAAATAAATAATTTCTAATTTTTAATTATTTTAAATTTTTGCAATATTATGAGTAAACAAACTGCAAATGATTTTTAACTTGGTTTCAATAATAAAATCGTTATTATATAGATGTCAAGAAGCCGTTATGGAAAGACAAACATAGCGTGATGGTAACGCACTTTGTTACATCTTAAAGCTTGTTCTCCATTCAGAACTATTTGCGCTTAGGAGGAACGGAAGAGTTCTTTGAGCATGCGCAAAAAATTCTGATTGGAGAACGGGTTTAAAAAAACTGTTTGCGCATGCTCAAAGAACTTTTCCGCTTCTCCAAAGCGCAAAAAGTTCTGAATGGAGAGCGGGCTTAATACTAGCTTTTTTTAAAAAAAAAATTAAAACAATGATAAAACTTATATCAGTATCTTTACTTTTATAAGAATTTATTGAGGTTAGCATATGTTTTCCTAACTTTTTTTTTTCCTCTTTGTCGCGGAATTGCCCATATATATATATATATATATATATATATATATATATATATATATATATATATATATATATATATATGAGTATATATGAGTATATATGTATATGTATATATATATATATATGTATATATGTGTGTGTGTGTGTGTGTATATATATATATATATATATATATATATATATATATATATATATATATATATATATATATATATATATATATATATATATATATATATATATATATATATATATATATATATATATATATATATGAAGTAACTTTATGCTATCGATTTAACTTTAAATTTGATTGCCAAAAAGTAAAAGATTATGAAAATAATCTTTTACTTTTTGGCACCAAACAAAGTTTTAAAAGTATTTGCCGATATATATATATATATATATATATATATATATATATATATATATATATATATATATATATATATATATATATATATATGTATGATATAAGTTGATATGCGTTCGAAATAAAAAAATATTTCAAATACATTCTTGGTTTGTATTTCCATTAATTACATCAGAAATATGTGGTTAGTTATTTTAAATTGGTATATTTTAATCTCTTCTACCTCAATTGTTGTTCAATGATTTCCGAGGTATTTTCTCTGTAACATATTAAGATATATATATAAATAGTATTGAAGTCAATCTATGCTGATCATGACTTATAAAAACATTTTACAAGATAGAAAGCAGTTTCATAATGTCAAATTTTTAATATGTCGCAAAATTTTACTAAAAAATATGATATTTTATTGTTTGTTTTTTAAATCACTTGATATAGAGTTGTAAAGATTACAAAAAATAACATGAAATACAAAATACTTTTTAAGTGAATTTAAGAAACGTTGGTAAAATAACTTTTACGAATATTTCTTAAATTTACTTAAAAAGGTGCTAAACTTCATAAACAGCTGCTAAACTTCTTAAGTAAAATAGCTAAAATTTAATTTTTGTCTATTTATTTTAAAGTGCATTGTTTTGAAGCAGGATACATTTGTATTTGAACTCGATTTTTCCTCTTAGTGATTGTGAGGTGTTATGTCCTCTGCTACTATCTACTGAATCAAAGTATGTACTGGTTTTATCTTATTATCTCAGAATTTATTTTCATTCCATCGACATATGAAAGTAGAAGTTGTTTTGCCAACTTGTTCAAATTTTCTTATTTGCTTTGCATCTTATTTTATTCTAAATATCTTATCGCTTGCGATACAAACGATATCATATTTAGAATGAAATGTTTTGAAAAATAAACATAACGATAAATATGTACCATGTAACAGTTACTGGTAACCATGTCTCTAAGTTCACGAAATGGTACTATTTTGTAATATCTAGATTTGATGCAGTAATTTCAACTTAACTAGCTGCCCATGTTATATATTTTCTAAAACTCATATTACTTGGCATTTCAAAATTTGAATATTTTTAAAAAGAATATTCAAGCTTTCTTCGCTTTCGACCAATCAAAGTAGTACTAATTTAGGAACATAATTAGAGGTACAATTTGCATGACTAATTTGACATTCAAAAATGTCAGATTTAAAAGTTTAAGTAATAAACATGACGTAAATTTAGATTTTAAATTTTTTGAAAATAAATAAAAGTATTACTTAATAATAAATAAAAAAATGAATAAATAAATAAGCTGATTTGTATACTAAATTTATCATGCATATTATATTATGGTGTGTAGACATCACATATGAAAAGTCGCTACTGGGGTAATAAGAAGACTGATAGGGTATTACCTGCTGAATACAGTGGCTGGAAAGATCCACACGAAGAAATTTGGATCGATTGTGAACGTTTTCAAGAATTGTTTGCCTCTCTCTGTCCGTGGGGTGGAGGAGAGTTAAGTGACACGCTTGCACGGAGATGCTTTATAGTATGTTTAAAAGTTGTTTTTTTTATTGTTTTTTTCTGTGAGTAAAGATTATAAAAGCTCGTTATTCAATGTGAAGATTATTTTTTCAGGTGGTAAACACGAGTGGTAGTGGAATGATAAACTTCAAAGAGTTCACAAATGTGTTTGAAATTATTTGTCGCGGAGATATGAACAAAAAAATGCGTTTGCTTTATAAAATGCATTTGCCTCCAGCCCTCACACTGGAAGAAGTTGCAGAGCTTTCTAAGACAGACAATAATTCGTATGATGTTGTAGAAAGTGCGGGTTAGTTATCTCCATTCTATTCTGTTCAATTATCTCAATTCTATTCTGCTCAAATAATGAAGTAATACTACCTTTCATCATTTCTACTTGTTTCAATTATTTTGTTTGCGTATCTAGCAGAAGCAGTTGAAGATGATGCCGAGTTGAGCATTTTTGGTGATGGCAATATCTTGGTCATTAAAAAATCACCTTTTTATCGTCAACAAGGCATAGATGAAGATATGGAGACAGGTAAAATAAGTCCAATTGGTATATTAATTGATATATATATATATATATATATATATATATATATATATATATATATATATATATATATATATATATATCAATTAATATACCAATTAGAATCTTCTGCTTTGGTTCGTTATATATATATATATATATATATATATATATATATATATATATATATATATATATATATATATATATATATATATATATATATATATATATATATATATATATATATATATATATATATATATATATAGATATAGATATAGATATAGATATAGATATAGATATAGATAGATAGATAGATAGATATACACCTAATGTTAAATTACTTTATGAAGAAGTTACAACCAGGAAATTGTAAATCAATCTATTAAAACGGTAACACCTTAAAATCATGTCATTCACTTTTTTATTTTTTTATATAAATTATCTTTCTGAAATATATAATTTATTTAATATATATTATTTATTTAAAAATAAACAAAAATTATTTTTAGATTCATTAATGGAGTCTAAAGGACATAATCTTAATTTATCGTCCAAATCTCTAACTGACAGAGATCGCACAAACACAAAAACAAGTCAGCCCTTAGAGGTTGAGATTACGGCAAATTCTCTACAAACGATTTTAGACAGACAAAGTCCTTTAAACTTTCTTTCAGAACATTTTGACGGAAAGAACGACAGAGCAAAACGAACCAAAGCAGAAGATTCTAACTCTTATGTTGTAGTTAACAAACCAAACAGTGACACCTTGGATTATGTTGATTTCTGTGTTGATAATGATGTTGCTGATTCATTTACTAGCATTACAAATGATGATCAATTTGACTTCGATGCTTCGAACATATTTGATATGACAAAATCGGGACGTCTAAAAGTGAAGCAGTTTGTTGAATTTATGATTGAAGATAAGAATGAAGACGATGACGACTTACCAGATATGAATCAAGTATAATTTATAATTTTTATAGCACAGCTTAAATACTGGATTAGGCTTTAATTTTTAAACACTGGGCTATCCTTTAATCTGTTAAGGCGTTTTTTTTGTTTTGTTTTTTAAATTGCAGTTTATTTATTTATAGGAACAATTTATTGAATTGTGGAAAAGTTTTTTTTCACTGTTTCGAGAAGATCCATTAAAAGAACAAGTTCTTTACCAGGCTATTGCTCAGTGCGGAACACTATTATTACAAATCGGAGACCTTGCAAAAGAATATGAATTGTCCAACGACTCTAAAGAAGTTCACACCGATCATTTTACTGGTAATAACGATAATAAAATAAGTTCGCCCATTCCAGAAAACAATATGCTTGAAAGATCCTGTAATAAAGATATAATGGAAACACTGCTAGATCAAAATGATTTAAAAGATTTAAAAACTCAAATTTCGGATACAAAATTAACTGATGAATTTACAGATTACACTATTGTAAATCAAAATAATTTGTTTCTGGAGAATGAACCTTTATTATCTTCATTGAAATCCGAACAATCAATTGGATCCAATTTAGAAATAAAACATAACATAACACAAGAATCCGATGGCATTCCTGATACAATCTTTGGCGACGTAAGTAAGAGTGAGTCTGAAGTTCGCTTGTCAGCTCTCGGTGCTCTGGACAGAGAGTGGCGTATAAAATTTCGTCAATTTTTAGCTTGTATGGTATTGGAAACTACGCTGGCAGAACATTTTGAAAAACATTTCGATCTTGCTAGCGCAATTGAAAAGTTCAATCAAAATGGCGGCTTTTCTTGTTCTCAATCGTCTTAACTATTACTTAATGAGTTGAAACTTTTTTTATGTTAATTTATAGTCATTTATATAGCTTTTTTAAAATTCTATTTCTTCTAATAAGTTTGTATCAAATATTTTCTGAATTTAGTTTTTTTTTTAATTTACTTGAGTAATTCATTTTTTAACTTTAAGTTAACAAATAAATTGAGCTTAATGGAAAACAAATAAATTAAGCTTAATGGAAAAGTTGCTTAATGGAAAAGACTGTTCAGTAAAGGTGAATGTTCAAATTATTTAATGTTTATATCAAGGCCATTAATTGAGCACTGTTGTAAAAAAATGAAAAATTTGATGTCATGACCCAGAAAAATCTTTCAGGGGTATGATTGTACTATCATTGGTGGTTACTGGGATATAAGTCTCTAAATTTGGTTACACCGTCCGAGGAAGAAAATCCATTCTCAAATTTGCATTAAATCGCATTAAAAAAAATGCGATATATTTGTACCAAAAAAATTTTACAAAAATTGAAATTGTTTTTTAAATGCATTTGTTATTCAATCCATTTTTTTTCCATAAATTTAGTATCTAAATTAACAAAATATATGCCAACTAGAGCAAAAAACCACGAGGAAAACAGGAAGACTGTTTGCTTCTTGTGTCTTGGCAAGGCTAGTCGTTTTTTAACCAGCTCCATGACAAAAAAAATGCAACAAATTCTGAAGCAGCTAGTTGACTTTTATGATCCAAAATTCCCAACTGACATTTGTGAGCGTTACCGCTCCAACCTTAGGAGGCTTGAGGAGGGGATGCTTTAAACCCAACTACAGCTGTTTGATTTCTTCAATATCAAAGTCTATTTTGTTACATGAGATTCATTTTGTGATTGTTTGATTTGCTTAGTTGGTCAAAGCTAAGCACAATTCTCCACATCCAGTCTTGACAACTCAGAAACCTAAAGCAAACCAGAACTCAGTTTAAAGAAGATGTTCTCAATGCTTTTCAATAGTTCGCTAGGGTCTCCCAGACAGTTGCTCAAAGTCTACCTTGCGAAAGAATTTAGCAGAAGTTGTGTCAAAGGACTCTGTGGCAGCTGAAAGAGTTGCATCAGTCACAATGGCGGATTAAGACTTCATGGGGTCCGGGGCTGTTTTTGTTTTTGGAGGCCTTTTTATAGGCCAGAGCCTAAAAATGACTTTAAAAAAGAAAAAGGAAAAAAAAAATGGTCCTCTAAAATTTTTGGGGGACCCTAAATTTGCGGGGCCCGGGGCTATAGTCCCCCTAGCCCCACCGGCCCTATAGTCAAAGGCTGTCCAATTCTGGTGTGAAAAAGCTGGCAAATATCATTTGTGGTCTACAAGCACATTCTAGTGCACACTCATGCCCTTGGCGTGACATTTCATCAAAAGATCTTGCTAAATGAAAAGTTCTCTAAGACCTTTTGGATCAATTAGAAGAGATTATCAGGCATTCGATGTGGCTGGTGCTAACATCAAGAAAGCAAGTTCATTTAAAAACTCTGTCCATGAACCCATCATCAATGCCTCATGATTCTTTTGTCCTTCATGTTCTTCCACCTATAAAGCTTTATCTGTTGCTTGGTGTCGTAAATCATCTTCTACAGTCTCTTTCAAAGGTTTGGACACATGCTCCTAAATGGCTGGCATTACTTCATATTCAACAGCAACCATTTCATGTGAACAACTGGCTGGAAATAAGTGCAGGAAGCTTTTGAAGAATGTGGATGTTTTGAAGAGATTGGCCCACCAGCACTCCTTCTTTCCAGCTGTTCCCTTTATTGCCGCACTAAAAAAAATTCAATGCTGTTGTCCGTGTTTGTTTTGGCAATGCTCTTGATTACAACTATGCTGAAATAATTGAGCAGTTTAGAGTCTCCAATTTACAACTTTAGGACACCACCATCACTCCAAAAGTTCATGCTGTCATCCACCATGTTCCACAATTCATCCAACGCCACAAGAGCTCTTTAGGAATTTATTCAGAGCAAACAACTGAAGCACTCTATCATCTTTTTAGTAACAGTTAGCAAAGGTACAAGAGACCAAGCACCCAATCCAGAATATAAATACAGGCTGCAAAGATGCATCACAGACTTCAACAGCAAAAAAATTGATTAGGAGCAAGGCCGGCGCGATAGGGGGTGTGGGGGGTGTGACACCCCCCATCAATGATTTTTAGTCGGCAAACTGGACCCTTAGTCGGCAAATCGGACCTTTTTAGACTAGTTAGTCGGCAAATGTCGACCCTTTTGATATAGGTTAGACAGTCGGCAAATGTCGTAATGACAGTCGGCAAATTTTGGAAAACGAGGACCTTTTTTTTTTTTTATTTTTAGTCGGCAAAAGTTGTAATGGCACACCCACCATCCCCCCCCCCCCCCACGTGATACCTACTCGCGCCGGACCTGATTAGGAGTATTACAAAACAGATCAGACGTTTTTCTCAAGAACAAACAATTAAAATTGAAACTTTACTTTGTAGGAATTGAAGAAAAATATTATTTACCTGTGAATTTACTGCATAAATATTTTTGTTATGTTTTTGGAATGAATAAAAATTCTTAAAACCTTGTTAGTTACTTATCAGCTATGTGTTTAATGTGATTTTATGCAAAATTTGAAAATGGATTTTTTTCCACGGACGGTGCAACCAGATTTAGGGACTTATAACCTAATAACCATCAATGATAGTAAAATCATACTCCCAAAGGATTTTTCTAGGTCATCAAGCAATATTTCATTTTTTTACAACAGTGTCACCGGTAGTAATAGGGCAAATTGGTTTTAAGAAAAAAGGTTTAAAAAATTCCCACCCCTAATGTACGAGTATTTTGTGCACAGTAATAAAAATTGTACCACGGATATAGATTAAGATAAAGAGTTTTGGTTTCAGAACAAAAAAACCTGCGAGCTGTGTTTCCTTCATTTGTATTCTCAAAGCCAGGCTTTTGTTCGTCTACAATAAGTCCCAAATGATTTTTAAATTTTTGCTTGATTTCTTCTGAACGTTGTTGGACTCTTGATTTATCCTTATCACTTCTAACTTATCACTTTTTTATACCTAAACGATAGTTTAGGTATAACAGTGGTTTATTATCAGGCGTATATTAAATATAATTAATTATATTTATATATGTTATAATTATTATAAAGATTATAATTATTAGTTCATGTTAAAGTGTTATATGCACTCAAAAAAACGAATCCACGCATGCAAAGTAGACAGACCCAAAACATAATGTTCTTTTTTAGCAATTAAGTCTTTCAATTCACCGTTCATCATTTTAGGAGTCGCACCACATAAGTAGCATTTTTTTTTTGAGCTCATGTGTCAGTCATGACATTAGACACGTTTCCAACTATCATTGAGAGGGTAATGTCGAAACTTATAGATGTTGAAATAAGTTGGGATACTTCTTTTAAAACAAGAAACAAGTTGTTTTAAGAAATTAAATGTACTGTAGATGGACCAAGCCATTTAAATGAAAATTTTCCTCCTTTTCTATCTATGCTTTTTTGATTTTTTAAAAGAACTTTATCACTAATTCCAATAAAATGAGGTGCTTGATGGCATTTGTTATAATCTTTCTGCTGTTTATTTTGAGCATTTTTAATGTTCTTGAATGCGGTATAGTAAATTTCTTCTTGTAAAGAAATAAAAATAGTAACGGGTGATAACTAAGTTTTGGCACAAATTTAAATCTCGGTATCTGTTGCAATAAATACATTTGTTTTTTTTTTGAATTAATAAATTTAATTGGTCGGCAATAAAATGTGGATAATGTCCGCGGATTTTGCCAAATAATGTTTTGGCCATCATTCAATCTTTAAGGAACATAGGAAAATACAAAGAACAACTCGTGAGTTGCATCAGAATTTGTAAATTGCTGTTTATAAGTGCTGTGACTGAACCCCCGTTTGCTAATAATGTAAATGTTGTAGAAAAAATAACATTTTTAAGAACTTTGCACTGAGCTTCAATTAGCCTTTCAGTAGTAATATGTTCATCTAACGAGAAATAACCTTTTCGACTTAGATAGGCTATAATAAGATGAAAACACTAAATGCCCTGCCTTTAAAGAATTTCGCGTCTGTTTATAAGAATAACTTATACATTTAGAATAATGTAATAAGCTTATACCTTGTCACAATTTAATTGTTACAAGGTACAACCCACAAATAAAGTCTAATTTTTTTAACGATTCCCAACTTTTTCTGATTAAAATAGCTTGGCTTTTATGCCAGAGAAACAATATGCTACTTCAGCAGTTGTGGTCAAATCAGTTTGCAATTTTATTAAGTCTTCAACATTACGTTTTTTGATTTTAAAGAATGTCTTCAAATTTTTTTCAGTCCGTTCATAAATTCTTTTAGATGATAATGAAGGATACCGCTGATATATACCGCTAACTTATTTTAAATTGTATACCTACTCCCCTCTAAATAATTTTTATTTTTGTTTAAAATACGGTAAATCTTCATAAATACTGCATGTTGGCTGTCTTGCACAGGCAATCCATCTTTGTGTTTGCGATATACTTTATAAACCTCATAAAATAAACAATGATTTATTTATGATGAAACTTAAGAGGATTATGAAGAAACAATAGAGGAATGTTATGAATTAAGAACTTAGTTTTTGATATTGTTGCTATTGTTGCTAAAATTCGTAAAATTGTTAAAGTCTTCAGAAAGTCTCCTTTCAGAAATAATGACAACCGCAAAATATTCAATCCTTTGGAAAAGAAAAAGCTTAATTTTTAGATAGTAAAACGCGATGGAATAGCCTTATTAAAATGCTACGAAGATTTTATGAAGCTTGCAGTAAAAGTAGCAATGATCCATGTTGAACAAGAATTTGATGTTTTTTGATAAAGAAATAGAGAAGATAAAGAAACTATGCGATGCTCTTGCTCCCATTGAGATGATTGTAGAATATTTATACAAGGAAGATGCTGATATTTTACTTGGTGAAAAAGTTATTGAATTTGCTGCTAAGAAGCTGAAAGATCAAGCAATATCAATAAGCTTTGCTCTTCTAGAAAAATTTGAAGTCCGATTTCAAGAAAGAAGAAACCCCGATCTTGTACACTTAATACAATATTTAAAATCTCCGGAC